GTACACAGGGCCAGAGCTCTGTGTGATCAAGAGAGTCTGCATGTGGAGTTGGAGTTCCTGAAGGACATCTTCAGACGCAATGGCTATAACGACCGGCAGATCCACAGGGCCCTCAACTGCCATCCCAACAGCAATCAACATGATGACCACAGAGAAACTGTCTCCTTCTTGCCCTTTGTTGGGACTATATTCAACAGGATCAGCAGAGTGCTGTCCCGACATAACATCAAATCAGTTGGCCTGCCCCCAAAGAAAATATCCAATTTCCTCCGGCCTGTCAAGGATCACCTGGGACTGAGGACACCGGGAATTTACAGAATTCCATGCGAGTGTGGCAAGGTCTACATCGGGCAGACGGGCCGTTCTGTGGACACCAGGTTAAAAGAACATCAACGGCATCTACGATTAGAACATCTGGACAAGTCAGCCGTAGCTGAACACAGCATCGAGCTAGGCCACTGTATCCAGTTTCACAAAACCGCCATAATCACCAGTAAGAGCCGTTACCTAGATCGCATAATCATGGAGGCCGTTGAGATCGAGCTCCATCTGAACAAGGAAACAGGGTTCAGACTCAACAAATCATGGAAGCCTCTCATCTCTTCCCTCAAGAAAAATCCAACAAGCCAAACCAGTTCTTCATCATGTCATTGACGTCAGTAGCCTGTCCCCTGTAAGCACGTCATTGACGTCAGTAGCCTGTCCCCAACCAACCGGTTCTTCTTGTCTACCGCAACTTCCTAGTGCTACTGACCTCAAGTTTCCTGGATTCACTGGCCGTTACCCCCCCTCCCTTAGCACACAACACCACATATGGCCTTAATCGCTCTCCACTGCTCCTATTGGTCCGTTCTCCCTAACCAACCCCCCCAGCCTACTTTGTATATAAGCAGCGCCTTTCACTTCCTATCACTACAGCTACTGCTCTCTGCATTCCAAGCCATTCAACTGCTCTGAAGATGGAGGTGATACGTTTCTCCGAAACGTCGGCCAAAACGAAGAATACACGGCGCCTAAACCCAGAAGACGACTTTCTTCAATATTCAATTTTATCCAAAATATACAATTCAGTATACAGTATAGGTATATTCTTAAAAATGGCAGGCATTTTGAAATATTCAAAAACTTTCCATAGTTAAAAAATTGATATAGTATAGGCATATACTTAGAAATGGCAGGCATTTCAAAATATTCAAAAACTTTCAATACACATCTTTATAATGAAGTGTAGCAGACCTCAGAAATATAATACTGTCATGTGTTGGGTGTTTGTCACGCGACGAAGAACTTCAAGCGGGTTTGGATCTAGCGAATTTATTCCACACTCACTCTTACACTTACACAGTTCACAATTTCATGCCACAATATGTTAATATTAAATACTGCGGGGCACATGGCAGCATAGTTGGTTGAGGCACTACGCTACAAGCCAGAAGGTTGTGGGTTCAATTCCAATGAGGTCATTGGATTTTTCAATTGGTCTAATCCTTCCAGCTACATTATGGCCCTAGGGTTGACTCAGCCTCTAACAGAAATGAGTACCAGGAATCTTTCTGGGGGTGAAAGGCATGTAAGGGTGACATCACTGCCACATGTGACCTGACTGTCTAGAAAATGTGGGAGCCTCAACGTCTCACAACCCTATGGGCCTTCATGGCCTGTTACAGAGATGGCTTGATAGTTTTACTGTTACAATGAAAATCAGAGAAAATACAGCTGAATTATATTGTCAAATATAAATAACACATTTGTGTGAAGCTGTTATGTGCTTTAACCAGGTGATCTTTCTAACACCAAGTAGTCACTCAGAAGCTGATCTCAATGCAATATGGAAATTTGAATACACAGCAAAAAACATCAACACTGAATTCTGAGTTTCAAATGGCATATTAAAGCTTGTAAGTGTTTATTTTTATTGAAGTGGCTACAAATGAACAGAAATGAAAATATCTTTCTTTTCTTGTCATGAAGAAATCTTCACAAAATTTGATATTTTAATAATAAGATTACATATCATAATTCCATTCATACATCTGGATATGGAATAAAATAATTTTTTATAATCTGAGAACAGCAATAAGAAACCAAATGATTCACAGTGAAATTAATAAAAGACTAGATTCAGAAAACTCTTTTTATTATTTAATTTGAATACTAAGAAACCAAAGGATTCACAATGAAATTAATAAAAGACTAGATTCAGAAAACTCTTATTATTTAATTTGAATACTATAATTCTATTTACTTTCCAAAGTAACAAACAGCATTTAATCTTTGTCTGAATCATCCCTCAGTGTACATCACACATTGAGTAGGCAACCTTAGAGCAAGAAAGAAAGCATGCAGAATTAAAATGGAGAAAGAAAGTTCTTGGAATTTCTGACTTTCAGTACAAAGAATGAGATGGATGAGCAATATTGAAATTAGTCTCATGAATTTTATTTTGAGGGGGTGATGTGGAGGGAATGTTTTTAAGTCGGTTACTTAATGACACTTTCAGTACTGAGACTGTATACTGGTAGGCACAGAATCATGCCAAATGCCATGCCGGCAGTGAAAATGTTTGGTCTGAATTCAGGACTCGAAAATTCAAATGAATGGTAACTACATATGAGCACTGAAGGACAGAATTTTCTCATCTCACTAAGGCAAAAAATCTATTGACTACATTTTGATAGGTAAAAGAGGCTGCAGACTGTGAGAATTTCCTTTGTATATTCTTGAAATCACACTTCTATAAATAGTGCTTTGTTGAACATACAAGATGCATAATATTGTCACATGTAGGGGTAGACTGTAGATGGGGGTTTGGTTTGGAGATTGGGTTTATTGACAACTTATACACACAACTTGTACCTACAATCTACAGATCACTGTCACACACACAGTCTATTACATTTTCCACTAGCTGTTGCCTGGTAATGGCTTTCAACGTTGGACGTTCCCCTTATTCTGGGTTTCTGAACTATTTCCGTGCCTCAGCTACCAGTTATAACAGCAACAGCTCACAATGACAGAACTACAGTTCTCTGACTAGGTCCCTTGCTGGTGACCATCTTAAATCAACCTCCTAGTCTTTTCTTCACAGACTCCCTTACAATTCACTTTCTTGCTCCAGTTGGCCTTCTCATAACCCCTCAGCATGAACCAACAGAAAATACAGCTCTTCTGTTATTGCTACAATTGCTTCTGTGGGAATGCATTTGTTTGTGAAGTCCCAACTGTTTGCTTTCTGATCTCTGGCTCTACAGTCTGCCTAAAGGTCTCGCTGAGTTTTATTCTGCTTCCCTGATGTAATCGCTCTTTTAGATCTTGGTTCCTGATGCTGCTGTTGTATTCTGGTTCAACACAATGTGACTTCCTGAACGTCTGTCCTTTCAGGTTCCTCTTGCAATGTTGTTGTTGGTTCAATTTTTCCATCATCTCTGTTGGACTGTTGGTTATTCACGACCTTATGCTGTGCTGTTCCTGCACAGTGGGTCATCCGTCTGCAGGCAATGGCCAATTTCTTCTGGGACCCACCACTTCCCTAGGTCCACTTCTTCAGCTGTTGGCGGTGCGTGACGGCTAGATACCAGTCCTCATACCACTCCTTCAGTGCTCTGACAGTTTTCACTGCGGGTCTTTTCTTTAGGGATCACCTCATGCACACCTATGGACTCTGTCACCACTGAGGTTGGCTCCTAACTCTCCAGACAGGCCTCCATCGCTTCTTGGCAGGCCATTGTCTCTTTTTACCAGGCATTCACACTAGCTCCAGTCCTTTCCTGATGGGCATCCATCTTGACTATTACTTCTTCTTGAAGGGCCCGTCCTGAGTTGGTGATGTCCATCTAGGAGACGAGAATACTTCAGAGGACCTCAAACTTCTCACTGTTGGCTCTTATTTCAGCCATCATTTCCCTTAGACTGGCATCTGTCTTGGCATCTATTTTTACTTGGTTAGGCTTCATTTCCTCTCTCATCTCCTCTGTTTATTTTAGCCAGCAGGCATGCCATCATTTGTTCCACATTCACAGTGTGGTGGTATAACGATCAATATCTAATGCCATGACCAATCCAACCATTTCTGACACCAGCTGTCACATGGAGTGACTATCGACAGGGTTTTTGAATAGATACTGGATTTATTGACCATATTATCAGATTACTTATAACTACACTTTGCAGATCACAGTCACACTGACTAGTGTCCTCAGTCCATTACAGCTTCCACTAACTCTCTTCAGAGTAAAGGGCCACGTGGATAACAGTTCAGTCAACTTGTTTTCCAGTTTAAAATCCTTTGCATGTTCTTTCATTTTCATTCACATTAAAATTAACATTCATTGTGATAGGAGTCACTTCCATCTGAGATACTGTGCATTTGTTTACATGAAAGAAAATATCTTACTTTCCTTACCTGGACCAAGGCAGCTGTGAGATAGAAAAAGATGAAGATTTTGGTGGGGGAAGCATTTCCTTCTTTGAAATATCTGATGGCATACACAAATATTAAATGACCTGGTACAACGACCAACATTAGCACCCGAGCAGTCATTGCATACTGTTCTGTAAGAAATGAGAATAAAACCTTGACTTAATTTCTTGAATTTATTTATTCCTTCCTTTTTCACTGCAAAAAGTCACCTGTTTGAACTGAACTATCAGTACAGCCAAGAATGTACTGTTTAACATCATCACTCATGTGCCTAACAACATGAACTGTAACCCATTTTTTTTAGGAAGATTGCAAAGCCTAAATATAGAATAACTAAGTCCTTCTTGAGAAGCTGTCAATGGCTTACCTATTCAAAATTTCTAAACATTCTATGGAACCAAAAGGTTCATTACCACGTTCATAAGAACAATCCATTGGTCCTTATTCTGAGCAAGAAGAACAACTATAGGTTTTTAATTTTATTATCAAAATATTAACATTTAAGCCATGCCCATAAATTACCTTCTGACATATAGATTTTAATTTAACAATCCATGCAGAAAAATAAGAAGGCTGGGCTAAACTGGTCATATTCCTCCTTCACATGTAATTTATTATCTTTAAAACACTCTTTGATGGTTACTGAATTCTGTTTATTACAACTTATGATAGAAAACCAAAAGAAGCTGATATTTCTTTGCAATACTTATAAGAAGTACTAATACAGGGGAGCCTCCATTTAATGCTTCTCAATTTACAGTGTTTTTATGATCACAATATCACTATTAAATCTCTTCCATTTCAGATTTTCTTCAGTTTAATGTTAAAGTCCATTCTCACAAGAAATACATTAAACTGAAATTTCATCGTATCTGTTGTGTCATGAATGACCGTGTGCTTTCTTGGCTCATAGTGTCAATAAAGAAGCAAAGTATGCTATTTTTTATTTCAAATTACTTTTATATGAATTAAAAATTGAATTATAAACATTATTTTTTTATTGCTAGTGGGGTGGGACTAAGTCCCTTGTACTGCGGCCACTTCTGGCCTATTGTACCAGCCCCAGATGATAGGTGAGGGTGATTCTGGAGCAATTGGTAGAATGAAGATTGACAGGGGAAGCCTAAGTACTCAGAGAAAACCTTCCCCAGCGCCACTTTGTCCACCACAAATCCCTCTTGGCCAGACCCAGGATTGAACCCGGGCTGCCACGGTGGGAAGCCAGCGGCTAACCGCTTGAGCTATGGCACAGCCCATTCTAAACATAAAACCAGAGAGACTGTATTAACATTTCATTTCTTTATGCTCTAAGAAAAAGATACAATTAATGTTTAATGTCTTTACAAAAAAGTTATAGCATTTATCTATTAATGAGTAACATGATTAAAACTTAATGAAGATTTTTTAGGATCTAACCCAACTTCAGAAATTTGTGCTTCCATATCCTCATTTCCCAGATTATTCTGGCTGAAAAATATAAAGTTATTGTACTTACGTTTTGAAAAAAAGGCATCTAATGGGCTTATACAAATACGTGCCGTAGGCGGCAATGTCCCCAACTCATTATCTTTGTGGAGTTCAGTGGAGAGACGACTGGCTTGCACTGAGACTAGATTTCCACCCACCCCATTGATGACTGGTTGATACACAGCAAGATCCTTATATTTAGCCATCAAGATGTCCAAGATCAGTCCAGCTAACCTGCAGCAAGGATGGAGCTCAAACTTTAGCTGAACCATCTGTGAGCATCACATCAGCATCCTGTACTTCCAAGTTACCTAAAAAGTGAAGAAGTATTTTTAACAGACATATGCCATATTATTTTGTATACCTGAAACGTAGAGAAGAGGAATTATGCATAATACATGAATTCAAGAGTCCATGTAGAGGAGAATGCTAAATACATATCTCTGCACTGAGAGCTACCATTTACATCATGCAACAGTAGGACCTTGCTGATCTCATGGGTTATATTCCTGAAAATGTCTGAGAAAAAAAAGGTTAGATTTCTGGCTTGGAAGTCCACACCACTAAATGTCACAGGTGAGTACCTAGGATGACTACATAGCACTTGAGAGTCCTTGATATGATTCTCAGTCTGAAAACTGACTGCTTTGCTCTACACTACCTACACTACCTAATACTTCATTAACAATAATCATTCTTTCTGCAATATAAGTTCAGAATATGCCATTAAATAAACTATGACACAAGAGAAGTAAACTACCAGTAAATTCTTTTTTTAGAACTGTGCTACACTATAGGAGATTTGCAAGAATGGAGGTTTTGCTTCAAGAATCAAATGTGAACTTTAATGTAACATAAAATGGTATTAGGATAACGAGGCATAATAAAATATTAAATTGAGGGTATTATGTCCTCATGCAGAGGTTAATTACTGACTACTTTTTAATTGACCATAGATAGTAAGCACCTGTGTCATGAGTGTCAGGCTATTTCTAAAAGCAATCTATACAAGAAATATAGTTTTTTTTACACATTAACTCCCCCCCCCACATTAGTTATGATATATTTCACCAATAGTATGGTAGCAATTAAAGGCTATTGGCAAACTATTTTGTTCTATGACATGCATCTCTTCAGCCTGAAAGTTTGAAAAAATTCAGAACAGAAATGTTCACATGAGAGAAAAGGATTAACTTCCTACACAAAATGGCAATAAAATACAGTTGCAATGGAATATGAACATGACATAATTTAAAATGTACCATGTTTCACTGCTAGCATTTTTAATCAATTTGATATTAATCTCATGAGCATAATTATACTCTAATACAAACAATTGCTTTAAACACAGCTTTTCACCAAACTCCCATTCCTGCTGACAACCTATGATCATGATTTAATTAAAATGAACTCTTTTGAATTCTCTGCAATGCTTGACTGCCAGGAATTACAAGGTAAGAAGTACTTACTGTGGGCAAAAACAGATATGAGAAACATAAAAAGCAAGATAAAAGATTACCTAAAATCCTGCAAACAGTGGAATTGCTATTTGCAATGTTTATTGATCAGAAATAGCCAAAATGGTTGAAACAGCGTTTCTAGCAGTTAAGCTACAAATGTTGTATCAACTATATGGTCCTCTTGGCAATGATAGTACCATAAATAATAAGATTATGGTGGAGAAGATGGAAGAATAAATGGCATAATCTTGAGAATATCCTCAATTCAGCTTTGTCCACCACTAGTTCCACATGGATTGGTGAGGGCTTAAACACAGGCCGCTTGGTAACAAGTCTGAGAACTAGCCACAAGAAATTTCAGCTTTGTTGTATAGTAAATTCTGAAATGACACTGACTTTATTGGCAGAAACAGATAAGGAAGTATTTCCAACATAAGTAAGGAAAAGATACACAAATAAGAAAAACTGGGAAAATCAGCTGCAGCATCACCAGAACTGTATTAAAAACAGAGCATTTTTCTTGTTCCATTATCACTTTAAGTAACTACCGTGCAATGATGATCTTCGCACAACACGACACTGAATTTGGACAAACAGCTTGAAGCATCAACAACATAAGAGAAGGGGAAATATATTTACAAAACAAGCTGAGAGGCAAGAGAGAAATTTTTATATAATACTTGTACAGTGCTGACTCATCTATTAAAAAAATCAAATTTTTCCTTTGGATCTTGCAGACACATGTTCATGAAACAAAGATCATACAGTAATACTATTGTTAATGTTCTCAATAAACATACTGGTAAAATGTGAAGTGACTGATCAAAGTATTAAATGATCATCCTTAAAAGTCAATTGATTAATCATACTAATTTATTTACTTAGCGTACTAACTTCTGGACATGTACAATTATGATTAATGGCTGAACCAGGTATTTTAATCCTTTTGCTATGTAACATATTTGTAGCCAAGATGCAGTTCCTTATATCATGGCAAATGTTATCTTAATTTCAGTCATTTAACATTTTTTACTGTTTTACACACAGCTATAAGAACCAAATGCTTAATGAGTTACATGCATAATCTTTCATGATAATTTTGGAGCTACACTATACAATAATTAGTGTTAGGTAAAATACAATGGTAGTTGACTAGCTGTTGCAAATATACTCTGTCAGCAGTGATTCTATTTGGTATGAGCCAAGGAAAAATATCACTGCACACCTCAATGATAAGAAATTCCTTAGAGAAATTAAAAACTTGCAAAAGGAAGGATGTGACACACAGACTGGAAGCAGATCTTTATGAAAGTTTGAAGGAAGCTGGTATTACCCATATGTATATGGAAACTAAGAATACTATACAGACAACTGAAAAGTAAAACATACAGTTCAGTCCTAAATACTGTAATGATATCTGGAGGCTCACTCTGAAATTTCTTTATTGCTCAATAAAAATAAAGCAGTATAAACACAAACTTTTGGTAGTAATGCACAGATTTATTTAGCTACTTATTTAGAAGTGTTTATTCTTGAGAGCCATAAAATGCAGTCACTGCAAAGAAGTGGATTAAAGTGAAATATTGTTTCCCCAAGAGAAACTTGTACTGGTAGCTGTGAAATAAGTTATCAGAACTACATTAAAACGATATCAATTTTCCTTACATATGATTATGTTGCATAAACAAATAACCAGCAGGAAGAGACTCACAACAATCAAGACATCTCATTTAATTAATTCATTCATCCTCCCTGTATTTAACTGACAAGCAACCTCTTCTGTTTGTAGACCAATGCTCTCTGTCTTTCAATAGCCACATTTATCTTTTTGTTTAAAGAATCTCTCTCTCTCTCACACACACACACACACACACACATATACTTGTTTAATCGAGCATAATAGCAAATCATTCTAGGAAGGTCATGCAATGTTCTTGAAAATTTTTGTGTCTACATAGGGACAGTCCTACAGCATGGGCGGCTGCATGAGGCCACACTATTTTGGGGGGTGAACAGCTGAACCCCCCCCTTTTGTTTTGCTTTTCATTAAATGAAAAATAATTTCGTCTTTTGTAGGATTTGAGGTTCTCACAGCAGTGGTTATGAAGAGTACTATCTTCTGGGATATAACATCATGTAGTCTGTTGAAAATTGCCCAACGTTTCTGAGGAACATATTGCAAGCAGAGCTCTACTCGCCACCTGCTTTCATGCTTTTCATGCTTGTTTCTTGCTTGGCTTATTCTTCAACCCTGAAGATGGAGGGGATATCTTCCTCTGAAACATCGGTTTACTTTTATCAGACTACATGGCAATATATCCCAGAAGATAGTACTCCATTTAGTCTTTTAAATCATATCATGGCTATGAATAGGCAGTCATAAAAACATGTTATGCAGCAATGCAAAGAGTTATGACATTACTGGACCTAAATCTGGGGAATCTTTCCTTTGCAGGCTGGAAATACACAAGGGCAGTGGGAAATTACACTTTTCTACCAGTTTATGATGGCTAGGTTCATCATAATTTCTGAATATAGTGTATGTATCATGTGATGAAAATAAACACATACTGTGCTGAGCTGGAATGTGAAAACTGTATATGCAGTAAGGAAAACTTGTATCTCATACATGGGCCATTTATAGAATAAAGCACTTATGAATTAATTTAATTAAATTAATTTTTTTGTCAATTTTGGTATTTGTTTGGTATGACATGAACCAACTTAATTCAGAGCCAGAATAGATGTCAGTATAGTGACTGACTTATGGGGTGCACAACTGGGGCTCAATTCCTGGAAAGAGATTTTCTCTGCTTCACAGCTTCCTGTACATTGAGTACCAGGGGTTTCTTCCCAGGGGGTAAAGCAGCAGGGTCATGAACCTGACCATTCATCTCCATCTAGTGCTGAGATCAAGACTGGTGGAGCTACACCTCCACTCCCATAAATGTCTTCATGGCATACTGCTTAATTAAGTAAGCAGAGGAACAGCTTTACCTTTTACCTTACCAACTGAATTTTTATATAAAGAAGAAAGGCAAACTTGTATATAACAATACAATATTTCTTAATTTCTGATATAAACATGGTTATGAAATTAAGTTCTTTATATTTAATTAATTTTATACTGCGCGATACTACCTATTTTATTGAACACGTTCTGACATATTTCTTACCATATGAAAGCTCCCTCATTATACAAAACCATTTTACTCACGTGCTAATTAACATGGCTACTACGACTGGTGTCCACCCAGTGTAGAGGATGGAGTGTGTGTATTTATTCTTCTTGGCAATAAAAACCCAGAATGGTATGACAAGAATATAGCAGCCAATAATGATAGATGAAATCCAGGAAAATTTATCTGAAAATGAAATTACTTCCTTTTATATGTGACCTGTAGCAGTTGGTGCCTTAGATTTGTGCTTCTGCAATAAATGGCATTTTTCCATATGCAAAGAATGCACCAATATATAATAGCAATCCTAACAAATGAAGAAGCTGGGAAAGCAACATACAGAACTTTTCTAATATTAAAGATAAGATGAAAGTAATTTCTACAATATCAGAAAGAACGTATTCTATATTGTAGGAAGTAGTATGATCAGATATCTTAATTAACAGATCATAATGTGAAACAAACAATATAATGTTCTGTTATAAATAAATTTAAGAATGACTGACTAATTAAAGTGAATAAAGTATCATTTGAAAACCTCACCATATTCATCAAAGTCTTACAACCACTTTCACTTCACATTACAACACTGCTTTTCACATATCATTGTGATATGGACAAGATTTAGAAGAAATTAAACAGAAACTTTAGGTTTAATCAGTCACTAAGTATAGGCATTGCTAGAAATCATTCATGGATAAGGGAGAAACTCTTACACATATGCTGAAACTCATAGTTTTCCTTTTCACAGCAAAGTAGAAGTTTTACTTTAAAATATCTATATTTAAAATATTCTAATACAATATTCTGATGTTTCTTACCATCTGCATCATGCAATATAGAGGCAACCCAAGACAGCAAAATCAATGATGTGATATCACCTAAACTTGCAGCAATAGGAGTTGCCACATTGTCCGGATTGACATTAAAGTAGCGAGAAACAACTATAACAGTTGCTGTAATAAAACCTGCAAGAGGTAGCAAAGAATTAACACTGTAAAATCATTAGTATTTGTATAAAGCATTAATACTACAGGGTTTGTCCAAAAAGTAATGTCAGTGAGTCGATTAAAAACATTTATTGATTAGATCGGTACAACACATTAAGAGGTTTCAAAATTGGCTCCTTCTGCGTCGATACATCGCTTCCAGCGAGATATCCAGGCATCGAAGGCGTCATGGTAGGCCTCCTCCGGAATGTCCTTTAGAGCTTTGGTGCAAGCCTCTTTGACTTCATCAACTGTCCCAAAATGATGTCCTTAAATGGGAGTTTTCAAGCGCGGAAACAAAAAGAAGTCTGGGGGAGCCATGTCAGGACTGCAGGGCGGCTGGGGATCCGTTGGCACTTTTGAATCGGTCAGGAAGCGGGTCACGAGGAAGGCGGTGTGGGCTGGCGCATTGTCATGGTGAAGTTTCCCATCGTCTGCGATAAACCCTTCGTTTGAGTCTCTTTAGCACTTCCACGTAAAATTTGACGTTGATGGTTGTACCATGTGGCACAAACTCATGGTGGACGAGCCCCCTGATGTCAAAGAACACAATGAGCATGACCTTAATGTTTAACTTGCTCATTCTGGCCTTCTTGGGCGAGGGGATGCCGAGGTGTGCCACTCGGCACTTTGCCTTTTTGTTTCGGGGTCGTACTCAAACACCCAAGTCTCGTCACCTGTGATGACACTGTCTAAAAAGTGAGGGTCACTTTCACACAAGTCCAAAAGTTCTTGGCACATTTCAACTCTGCGCGATTTTTGGTCGTCCGTTAACACTTTGGGCACCAGCTTTGTGCACACTTTTCGCATCTGCAATTTGCTCATCACAATCTCGTGAATGGTACTTTTTGGAATGTTTAATGTCTGTGCCATTAAACGAACACTCAAACGACGGTCTGAGTTCAAAAGTTCTCTCACACGCATCACATTTTCATTGGTGGTGCTTCTTGATGGCTGTCCAGCGTGGACTTCATCGCCGACCTCTTCATGGCCTTCTAAAAAGGTCTTGTGCCACCGGTAGACCTGACATTCCCGCAAACAATCGTCACCGAAGGCCGTCTTTATCATGGGTAAAGTTTCCACTGCAGACTTGCCAAGTTTCACACAAAACTTGATGGCAATCCTTTGCTCCAAGGAGCGCTGCATTGCGGCTTGCACGGAAGACAAAAACGAGTTTCACGGAAAAGCCTTTCATCACTCTCAGGAAGTTCGGAGACAACTAAGCGACCGTGTGTTCATAAGCCGACTTCCCCCTCCACCGATCCCAACTGGTCTGAGCGCGCTGCGACATATAGTCACTTCACAATAAAATCACTGACATTACTTTTCGGACAAACACTAATAATTTCTATATCATATTTTTCCACTAGCTATGTCCGGTCTTGCCTTCACTACTCATTAATTATAGGACAGACAACATTCCACAATGAGGAAATTTCACACACAATAAAAAAAAAATTTAAAACTGAATCTAATGAAAGAGAGCTGAATAAGGAAAATATACAGTCTCTTATTATAGAAAAGCAGAATGTTTTACATGTTACACTGATGTCTGTAAAGATGCAATATCAGTTTCAGTTCTTTCAAAGAGAGGAATAAATGACTTTAAGAGGGGTTACCAGCCTAGTAGTGAAGGATGAGAATGGTGATCTGCTCTCAGATTCCCACAGCATTTTGAATAGGTGGAAGAACTACTACCCTCAGTTGCTGAATGTACACAGGATCAGTGATGTGAGGCAGTCAGAAATACATATAGCTGAGCTGGTAGTATCTGATCCTATCCCTTTTGAGGTTGAAATTGCTACTGCAAAGTTGAAAAAGTGCAGGTCGCTAGGTACTGATCAAATTGAGGAAGAAGTGATTCAATCAAGAGGTGAAATATTACATTCTGAGATCTGTAAGCTAATTAGTTCTATTTGGAATAAGGAAAATCTGCCTGATCAGGGGAAGGAGTCTACTGTTGTACCTATTCACAAGGGTGATAAAACCGGGTAGTAATTATGGTGGGATGTCACTGCCATCAACTTCATACAAAATTTTAACCAAAATCCTTCTCTCACAGATAAGTCCATTTACAGACAAAATTATTGGGGTTCATCGGTGTGGGTTTTGACATGACAGATTACCTGCTGATGAGATTTTTGCATTCGTCAGGCAATGGACAAAAAAGTGAGTACAGTGAGACAGTACGTCGGCTATGCATAGACCTCAAGAAAACCTGTAATTCAGTTTGGATGGAAGTATCGTAAAATATTCTCATATAGTTTGGGGTACCCATGAAATTAGTTAGGCTGATTAAAATGTGTTTAAATGAAACTTATAGTAAAGTCCGTATAGGTAAAAATTTGTCTGATAAATTTGCTATTCAGAATGGTCTAAGATAAGGAGATACTTTATCACCACTCCTTTACAACTTTGCTTTAGAATATGCCATTAGGAAGGTCCAGGAAAACCAGGTGGGACTGAAATGAAGTGGGACACATCAGCTGCTGTTCTATGCTGATGACATGAATCTACTGGGTGATAATATAGTACATAGAGTAAAGAGAAACACACAGACTTTAACTGACTCTAGTAAGGAGGTTGGTCTAGAAATAAAAACAGAGAGCACTAAGTATGTGTTGCTCTCTTGTCACTAGAATGCAGGGAAATATAACATAAAGACAGCTAACATGTTATGAAAAAGTGGCAGAGTTCAGATATTTGGGAATGACTATAACAAATGAGAACCTCATTCAGGAGGAAATTAAGAGTAGATTGATTTCAGGTAATGCTTGCTACCACTGAATCCAGAAGCTTTTATCTTCTTGTCTGCTGTCTGAAAACATAAAAATTAAAATATACAAAACTGTAATTTTGCCTGTGGTTCTGTATGGTTGTGAAACTTAGTCTCTGACATACGGGAGGAACATAGACTGAAGGCATTTAAGAAAAGGGCGCTGAGGAGAATATATGGATCGAACAGAGATGAAGAGATGGGAGTTTGGAGAAAACTGTATAATGAGGAGCTTCATAACTTGTACTCTTTGCCAAGTATAATTAGAAAGATGAAGTTAAGGAGGATGAGATGGGTAGGGCATGTAGCGCAAATGGGGGAGAAGAAGAATGCATATAGGATATTGGTGAGAAAGGCAGTAGGAAAGTGACTACTAGTAAGACCAAGACGTAGGTGGGTGGACATGTCAAAATGGAGCTTAGAGAGATAGGATTGGATTGATCAGGTTACATTCTGGATTTTTACAACCTTATCTGTTCTTCTAGAAAATATTTTCTGCACATCCAGAAGGTCTATTTCTTCCAATATTTGGCTGTATCTTGACTACACCATATATAAATGATATTCTTCTACCATTTTCGTATTTTAAATTGTTTCTTTCTTATGTACATTCACAATGATACCTGCATTTTGATAAACTTTTTGTAAAGCTATTCTATATTTGATAAATTCAGTGTATTTACTAATACAAACTTATTTATTCAGAAACATGGCCTCACCAACCAACCTCTAGACTTAAAACTTCAAGTAACAGCCTTCTTGGTCTAATGGAAGTACACATGTATAACTTTTAAGCCGACTGCCTAGAAAATGTGTAAGCCTTGATGCCTCACAACCCTACAGGCATCCACAGCCTGTTACAGGGATAGCTTCATTATTTTATTATTTTTTTTAAATACAACCAGTCACTGGACTATATTGTAACGACATCCACAATTATGCCCAACAACACCTGAAGCTCGCCAGTGACCGGATGAAAACTCGGTACGATAAACTGGCCAACTCCGCAGGTTACGACGAAGGCGACAGAGTTTGGCTCTACCGCCCAATGCGCAGGAAAGGGAAATCGCCAAAACTACAAGCATCCTGGGAAGGTCCTTACAAAGTAGTGACCCGGATAAATGATGTGGTATACCGAATCCAGAAGACCCCTAGGTCGAGAATGTTGGTTGTACACCTGGACCGGCTCGTGCCTTATCATGGAGCTGCTCGAGACGAGCAACCATAAAAGGGGGGGAGATGTAGCGGTTGGAAAGCAGAGCAATGGGGAGAAGAGAAACAGTAGCAGGACAAAAAGAAGATGCTGCAAGAACAGCCTCCAAAGAAAAGGAACGGGGTGCACCGTTAGGCTATTCAGGACGAACAGCCTTAAGGAGGGAGCAGTGTGACATGTTGCGCAACGGAGAACCCCTCCCTACCCAGCAGTGACGTGGCGGGTGAGTCAGCGCTCCATCCCCCACCTCCTCCGCACTGTGACATGGCACGCAACACCGCTGTCGACACGGCACCAGCCAACAGCAGTACCGATTACATAACAGGCAAGCGCTGCAACTATATAAGTGAACCACACTGCCTACGAGTTGAGTTGAAATATAGCAGCAGTCGCGGTAAGAAGACCCGAAGGCGTGGTTACAAGATTTTATGTGACAGTGTGCGGTAACTAAGAAGTCAGCGAGTGGAAGACTTATTGTGTGCTTTCAAGACTTTGTGTGCTTTCAAGACATTGTGTGTGCTGTAGTACAATTATATTTGGAGTGTGTAATTCACAGAGACTTGTATAGCTCCCGCGTTATTAATACGTCAAGACTCTTGAAGATAGTGTGAAGAGATTTGGTTGTAGGGTTTGTTAAGTGTGGAAACACGTAACATTATTATAATTAATTGTAGCCGAGACTGGTAGGTTGTTAAACAAACCAATTAACAATCCGAACGGCATCTTCAGTAATGAAACATGTTACAATATGTTCTGAGATGAATCTAGTCAACATCAAGGCAACTAACTTCCTTAAATCCATTTCAGTGTTATTTTTCTATCAAAGAATTGATCTTCAACGTGATAGGTTTCAGTATTGAATTTTGTATATATCCTTAAATGCAAAATGATAGGTCCAGTTTATTTTCCACAGTTTCATGACTGCAGACAATCTACAAATTCTCATATCCTTCAAAAGATCTGACTAGTTTGTTTAAGGCTTTACTCCTGTTTCTTACTTTTGTGTTGGCCAATATGCAACATGACTATTCAAACAAGTTGTATCAACCTTACTCCTAGCTCAGACACTACAATAATTAAAAATATAGGGCCACCAATTATAAATTGTAGCTATGAAGTGATATTACCTAACAAAAGGCTGGCTATGGATGAGGTAATGATGCTGCAGGAACATAGAAGCAGTGTGTGACTAAGACTAAATTCTTGTTGTGTCACTGCCACCATTGCTATGGCAACCACAGCAGACATCAATCCCACCACAATTGCTTGACACTGAAATATAGGTATCAAATCCTGTAATGGTTATTTGCAAACTGTTTCATGTACAAAAAGAAAATTCATAATAAAACTGCACTATGAATAACAGTATTGTCACGAGACACTGACTACATATGGGACATACATTAACAATTGGATTTATTTGACACTGAATGGTCATATTTACAAATAATTACACAGTTCACAATATGCACTATCGTTTCATAATGTGTTATATGATTCTTGGTTGGTTCCTTAATGGCTCTGTCATGACAGACACATCGCTAGGTTGTGGGTTCTGATAATGGATACTTCTGTCAGCCTGCAGTTTCTTGTCTTATCACTTTGTTGTGGACTGATGAGAAAACACCACTTCCACACTTCTTTTACTGTTACACACTTATGTGCCTCTCAGGGATTGGTTTTGATCTCACCTAGTAATATATGCCTCTCTGATATTTCTCCAAGTCCAAGATTCTTTTAGGTGTCACGTCACACTACTCCTTCTCTAAGGCTGCTCATCCTGAGAAGACTACAGGCATACTGTCATACCTCCACTCTATGGGGGCCTCCTTATTATGCCTACGACTGCCTTTGTGAATGGTGCCAGAACACCATATTGGCCCTACCTCTTGTCCTTCTTCTTTGAACACTGTCCAGCCTTAAATCCCTGTAGAATCAGCCCCATGTGGCCATCATGCAGCTGCTCCTTCCTTCGTGCGGTACATTCTATCTCCCATGGTCCTCTAGCATGTGTCTCCGCTAGTCTGCTTCTACCACTGGTGGTCTCCAGCCATCCTAACAGGCACCTCCATTTGGAGTTAACCCAGCACCCTCACCCTGCATACTTGAGCTCGGTGGGCAGCCTTGGAACCTTGTCCTGCTAGATTACTCACCGCTTCCAAGGGCTTCCCAGCCACACTGTCATGACTCTCCTACACCAAGTCAATACCACATCACTTCTGACCTTCATATGAGGGGAAGAATGGGATGATCTACACAATAATCAGTACCACTAGCACCTCCTTCAGGATGGAGAGGGTCTACCTTTATGCCATCTGCAGAACGTATGGCCAGGTCAATTCTCTCTTGGACAGTCCTGCAACAATGTCTGGCCTGATGATCGTCATGGACGCCCCAGTGTCAATGGTCATGAGGTATGACTTTTCCCCTATCCAGCCTTTTCATTTAGGCTGTCATTGCCTTCCTTGTCAGCACTTCAAATGCATAACAAAGGGGCATGAGTAATGACATCAACACCTTCTTTGTGCCATTCCTTACTTGTGTCTCAGATCCTGGTAAACATCCTCTCTGGTAGTCCTTATGGTGGAATACCTGTGGACAGTCTCTCCCAACATGGCTGATGCCTTGACACTGCTAGCCTTTGCATCACCCAGTCACTGTACTTATCCCTGGTGGCCATGGTCCCAAGGGCACTGGAGCACTTACCACACACAGCCTTGCTGGTGGCCCAGCTGCTGCCTTTGCAGCCTCTGGTCTCAAGGCCTGGCTGAGGGCCTTACTGAGCATCCTCTTTCCACCCATAAAGAGGGCCAATTTCACCTCTCATCCCTTATCCTGTAAACAAATGCACAAGCTGTATCACTCTGAATGAAGTACTGGGGCAGTCCAACAAGAGCCTGGTAGGATAACTGTTCAGTGATGGCTGAGTCCTAGCTTTCAGTTGGGAATGGTGTGCTGTGGCCAGTTCGCAGCCCCATAGTGACCCTCAAGCACCTCAATGATGTCTTCATAACTTGTTTGCACAGGGACACTATACAGGACATCAAAGGCCTGACCCTGCAGGAGAAGCAGTAGGTGTGTCACATTCTCCCTCACTGCCCAGTTGTTGTGCTCTGCCACAGCTTCAAACTGGCAATGAACCAGGTTCCAGATAATAGGCCCATTGAACTCTGGTGGCTTTATCATATCCACTTCAGTTCCTGTTTTCCCGAAACCTCCATACCCTGCTTGCGTTTTGACTTCTGACAGTTTCATTCTGAAATCCCTTCTTGTGACCTCCAGGAGCATTTTCATCACTTGTATGCCTAGTCATAACCCTTGCATTTTGCTGCCAAGTTGATCATGAAGACTCTGGATATGCTCATCAATGGATGCCCTTCATTCATTCGCTAATCATTTCTTTGAATTCAGTCTGGTCAGATGGCATGGTGCTTATGCAGCTTCCATCTTTTCTAATCCAGTTCTTATCTCCTCTTGACCAGACACTATTTCAGCTTTCATCTTTTCCAGGCTGGCCCTCATCTGGCCCTGGTTGAACTCCATCTTGTCTTGGTTAGTACACATTGTTGCCTGTTGAGTGACTCTTGACTAGATTTTGGATTGGAGATTGGATTTACTGACCACTTTAACACACAACTTGTAACTACAAGTAATTATGGTGCCATCATTAATTTCAACACTTTACAAACCACTACAGCACATGTTAAGTCTTTTCAGTCTGCTTGGACTAGTCGTTTCCTGGTAATAGAACTCAACAATGGAGATTCTTCAACTGCACCAACAAAGTATTCTCTTCACAGACTCCATTACAATTGACTAACTTCAGAGTCAGATTTCAGAGTTACAACTGACGGTTTGCTGCCAATGAGTTCATCTTGGCAACAAGCCCCTTGAGACTCACAACCAGTAATTTTATTTTCCAACTGTACACTTGGAGTTATTGTCCTTATGCAACAACCTCTCTGACAAGAGGATGGGTCTGTCATTTACAATTGCTGCTGGTCCTTGCCAGTGCCATCATTCTCAGGTCTGAGTCCAGCAGGGTGGTCCAGTTATACTCCCAGGCACTGGGCCCTCACCCAGCCTGGTTTCCCTCTATCGTTTGTAATACGTCAGTTAACAGTCAAACCAGTTCTCCCCCCCCCCCATCTCATTTTATGTACGCAACAACTCATAATCCACAGCTCAATTATCCATTCACACTTACGACACCATTCTCACGTGATAGTCACTACACACAGGATTCGGTTTAGTAACTGAATTTACTAAGACACTAAATACTCGTACTGACAGATAATTGCACAGTTCACAAGCATGCACTACCATTTCAAAATGTACTTAATCACTTATGATAGGCTCCTTGCTGGCTCTGTCATCACAGACACATTGCTAGCTTCAGGGCTTTGACAATGGGGAATCTTCTCTGTATATCACTTTGTTGTGACCAACAAGAAATCATTGCCTCCAACAGTTCCTTAACTGCTGCACACATAATGGTCATTGGAGATTGTTGCTTGAATTTACCTAGCAATGGATTCCTCTGCAACATTACCCATAGGTGGCATGAAGCCTAAAATTCAGATATCTAATCTGAATTTTAGGCTTCATGCCACCTATGGGTATAGTGTGTCAAGAAACTTTAGTTCATGTAACATTTACTTGGATACAAGCAGTATTTGTGTCATTCCATACAAAAGCAAACTGAGATGTTGTACCATAATAGAGCAGTAATGCAGAATATACACTGAAACCCCTATTTACACTGTACTGGTTCATTAAATTGGTTAATCAGTGGGTAGGCTTGTGAGTTTAAAAACCTACAGCCAAGTACCACAGTGAGATAGCGATTTCAAACTCAGTATCTTGCCAGCCTTCATACAAAATCAGTCCATAATAAGAAAGAAAGGCCAGTATAATGTATTAAACAACACGTCTAAAAAAACGTTTACTACTATATGAAGAAAGATAAGAACACACACTAAAACTGGATTCATAAAATACTGGAAGTAAATAAATTTGTATTTGTCAGTGATGAAAGTTTCATAGTAAAATACCTGCACTAATGTTAAATTTCCTAAGATCATGCTCCATTGTTCCTTAGGGTCATCCATATGTCCTAAATTAGCTTCTGTAGATAATCTTGATGCGAGTGTCATTTCTAAGTTTCCCTTTAGCCCTAGAAGGGATGGTACAAGGATGATGATTTCAGGCACTTTCATAAACACTTCCCAATCCTAAAATAAGAAGAAAAACTTCACACTTAAATTCACATATATGCCACAGTTCATGGATCACTCTTTATACTTTTCAGTGTGCAAGAAATTGGATGAGTGCATGAGAGAATCTCTGAATAACTGAATGGTAGGATGAAGAAATAAATGAATTGATGAAGGAATTAATGAGGAAATGTATGGTTGGGAGAATGGGTGGTCAGTAATTTCATCTGTGAAATTTCTATTGATTAACAGTTTAATTTGCAGTAGTAGTACTGAAGATACAACTTTGTGTCATTTGCAGACTGCTGGCATTTTATGTGGTCATTTTCTTTTATAAATTACACTTCCACATCTCCTTGAAGGTGACCTTACATGGTCAAAACATGTTGTCGAAGAATCATTTATAAAGAAGAGGCAATGTAGCACACCAACAGTCTATGAGCATGACAAGAAGTTGCACCTTCAAGCCTGCCCCTACAAATTAAAATATGACCAAAGATTCAAATAGGAAACCAGTACAGTATAAACAAATGACATTATTATCACTTCAATATCTATTTTAGGAGACTTACTTGAACATGATCTAGATAGAAGCCTGCTCCAACCATACCCATACCAGCAATGAGAAAAGGCACCACAACTTGACAACCAATACTTATGTGTGTCTCAGCAGAGGGCGTGGTGGAATTAACTTTGCAGTGTTCTACAGTGTTAGATTCAGGGGCCAGCTTCACTATCACATCTGGTAAAGGTGAGTCCTCTGCAGCAGAGGCAGGAAGGGTAGCTGTGTCTGTCGGAGCAAAAGGGAACTCCTTGTTATCTTGAGGTCCCATCTCACTTCCCTCTTAAAAGGAAGAGAAAACAGTTGCCTTGTTTTATACTGCTTCATAATAAAATACTCTTGGAATGTGATAAAAAAATTTAGACCTATTTAAATTAACAGCATTCACTTTAATGCAAACTACTTGTTGTCAAATCAAGAGTGGTGGGGAGATTGGGGAGTAGAGTATTGTATGTGAGGTGATGGAAGAATGAAAGAGCTGAAAGTAAAATTTGGCCAAGATGTACAACCACTTCTGCACATTTACCGCTGCGTGAGTAGTCACGGGAGGGGAAGAAATTATAGAAGGATGATTCTTTAAAAATTCTTCCAGCCAGTAGATCCACCAAATACCACTGCTAAAAGTATACTATCAGCTTCAACAGCCATAAATACAAAACTCAATATTATATTTAAGCATCCTGTTGCATTCTATATGATATATGACATAAACACCGTCCAAAGTGCAACAATTTATTGTAGTTCTTTAGTCTTGCCCTCTTCTATGCTACATGTTTCGGCCGCAAACGGCCATCATCAGGTGTATACACTTACGTAGCTGTTACACTGCACTTAGTTTAAAATTTGAAATCATGAGTCTTCCCAATTGTTCTTTTCGTTGTTACTAACAGGTTTCGATTTATTAGAATCTACTGCGCTGATATCTGTCTGATTTGTGCATTGTCTTTGTTACCTACACTCGTCAATTTTGATTATTATGAACTGGCACTTTTAAAATCTTCAGTTCTAATTCAAAAATTCTTTTAAAAATTAAAATTCTCAGGGTTACTCGCCCTATGTCTGCAGTGATGCAGCGGCTACTTCTTGTTTTCAGCACTGTTATTCTGTGTAGGCTCACTGTGTGCATGCCGCTGCTTAAAAAAAGCAGCGGCATACACATATAACAAAACTAAATACTACTAATTTTTCCCAACCCCCTTTCTTACTACCACAGTCTATCTTCAACCATCCCCCCATCCATCCAACAGATCATATTCCCATTAATTCTGAAAGCTATCTACTGTATTACTGGTGTTAATTCTTATTACAGCATTATTATTAATATAAAGCGTTTCTGTCATCTAAAAGCCATTTAACAATGTTTAAAACACATCTTGTTAAAATGCTTCCTAACACTTGGCACTACAGAGTTTTTCCAAGTCCATAAACTCAGCAACCCTGTGTGTTATACATCACTGTCAGATTTTTTTATTATTTTTTTATTGCTAGTGGGGTGGGACAAGTCCCTTGTACTGTGGCCACTTCTGGTCTATTGTACCAGCCCCTGATGAGAGGTGAGGGTGATTGTCGAGCAATAGGTGGAATGAAGAGTGGCAGAGGAAACTGAAGTACTTGGAGTAAACCTGCCCCAGCACAACTTTGACCACCACAAATCCCACTTGACCAGAGCCAGGATCGAACCCAGGCCGCCACGGAGGGAAGCCAGCGACTAACCACTTCAGCTATGGTACGGCCATTGCCAGAATTAACACATTTCTTAATGTTTGAAAGAGAGACAGACACACACAGTAAAAACAGTTTTAAAAATACCTATTCAATTGTGTGCTCTGTTCCAGTTCTGCTGGTGCTGAACTTATTCAAGAATCTATTAAAGTAACTGCCCACAAAGTAAACACAGATAAAACCAAGTGTATGAATGAACATGCCAGGATATCAAAACATGTGACAGAATTGCAACATCCGAATAATTAATATATAATTTGAAAAAGAAATTTGATGTCTCTGAGGCCATCAGTAATGAACAAGGATAATGTTCTGGAGGAAATAAAGATAAAAAGCACAACATAAAGTGTTTATAATTTTTCAATATAGAAGGTTATTTTCGCCTTTCAATTATTTTATCCTAAATAAAGTAAGTACGGTATTAGTTCATATATACATATAAACTTACATCCGTACTTACTTTACATATTTGTACATGGAGTCAGGGCAGCTCAGTCGGTATAGTGATCGGCAACAAGCTGGACGGCCGGAGTTCGATTCCTGGTGAAGTCAAGATTCTTTTCTTCTCCACAGCGTCCAGACTGGCTCTGGGGACCAAATTAGCCTGCTGTCAAATAAGTACCTGGGACTCTTTCCCCGGGGGAAAAGCGGCGGGGGCGTGAAGCTGACCACTCACCTCCATCAAGTATCAAGGTCAAGAATGTTGCAGCTATACCTCCATTCTCCCACATGTTTCACAGCACAGTGCTTAATCAATTAAGCACAAGGACAACTTCACCTTTACACATATATATTCTATACGTACAGTTAAACGGATATGCACAGTCTTGATACAGTCAACTCCCGGTTATCAGGTATCCAAGCAATCTCGATTTTAATCCAACCAGCAAAATTTTAAAAGATAATTTACAACATTACAAAAGGTCAATTAATTCTGTCCAGTGTGACTGATGGGATCATAATTTACAATTTTTACGAAGTCATTCAGAAACAAATAGATGCTGCGCATGTGTTCACTCGCAATGCAGTATTTCTCCCAGACGCTACCAGTAGCACTACTCTTTGTCCTCCGTCACAGAAGGGCCAGCACAGCAGAAAACAGTTTAATTTATCATGTTACAGTACATGTATTTGAAATCTTTCACCCATCAATCTGCTGCATCCCTTATAAGGACTTACAAGCAAGAACCAAGAGAAAACTTATTGTTTTGACTTTGTACTGTGTTTCTGTAATAGATATTCTCATACAACCAGCACACCATATTCCCTATGCTTACTTATGGAGCTGAGCCCTTCTTGAGGAGAAGCCAAATCTGCAGCTACTCAAGAATTTCCCAGCATTTTATGGAACCCAAAGGTTCATTACCATGTTCACAAGAGCCCTCCACTGGTCCCTATCCTGAGCCAGATCAATCCAATCCATACCATCCCATCTATCTAAGATCAATTTTAATATTGTCCACCCACCTATGCCTTGGTCTTCCCAGTGGTCTCTTTCCTTCTGGCTTTCCCACCAATATCCTATATGGACTCCTTTTCTCTCCCATTCCTGCTACATGCCCTGCCCACCTCATCCTCCTTGACTTCATCATTCTAATTATACTTGGAGTTATGAAGCTCCTCATTATGCAGTTTTCTCCAGCCTCTTGTCACTTCATCTCTCATCGGTCCAAATACTCTCAACACCTTGTTATCAAACACCCTCAGTCTATGTTCCTCCTTTAAGGTAAGAGACCAAGTTTCACACCCATACAGAACCACAGGCAAAATTGTAGTTTTGTATATTCTAATTTTTATGTTTTTGGACAGCAGACGAGAAGACAAAAGGTTCTGGACTGAAGGGTAGTAAGCATTACCCAAGTTCAATCGCCTCTTTAATTTCCTCCTCAATCAGGTTTTGATTTGTTATTGCCGTTCCCAAATATCTGAACTGCGCCACATTCTCAAAACATCTGTTTTCTATTGTTATGTTATGATTTTGCCCTGCGTTTTGGTCACGAGACAGCAACATATACTTAGTTTTCTCTGTGTTTACTTCTAGACCAACTTCCTTACTTGTGTCAATTAAAGTTTCTGTGCTTTTCTTTATGGTATCTGTATTATCACCCAGTAGATTCAGACCACCGGCATAGACCAACAGCTGATGTGTCCCATTTAATTTCAGTCCCACTTGGTTCTCATGGACCTTCCTAATGGCATATTCTAAAGCAAAGTTGAAAAGGAGTGGCGATAAAGCATCTCTTTGTCTTAGACCATTCTGAATAGCAAATTTATCAGAAAAACTTTTACCTACACGGACTTTACTGTACATTTCGTTTAAACACATTTTAATCAGCTTAACTAGTTTCATGGGTAACCCAAACTCTATCAGAATACTGTACAATACTTCTCTCCTAACTGAATCATAGGCTTTCTTGAAGTCTTTAAATAGCTGATGTAATGTCCCATTGTACTCCCATTCTTTCTCCAATAGCTGATGAAGGCAAAAGATCTGGTCTGTAGTCATATTTCCTATACATGCCAGAAAACGAGGAGTTTACTGTATATGTTAACTGAATCTCTCTTAGACAAAAGGTGGACAGACAGGTGGGGATTGTGTTGTTAATGTCTCTTTTCACCTCAAGGTGAACATAAAGCGCATGATAATTATCAAACCAGTGAGATTCAAATCACATGGCCCTTGGTTGGATGAGCAAAGCAGCACACAAAGCTATCAGAGCTGTTGTTTGCAGTCCATTTTGATCACTCTGCCACCTGCTTGATCCCATCTTAAATATTTCATTTCTCAGAAACGAAGGCTACGGCTCTTGGGATTTAGATGATTGAAATGTTTGGTTAGGAATGTGGAGTTTAAATTACTGTGGAAGAATATGACAGAAATTCAGTGTGACAGAACCTCTTTGTTGGAAGGCTCCATCAGAAGAGTAAAACTTTCTTTCTGCTCACAGTCATGCTGAATTTGAATTTTTCCCAGGTATAAGCATAGTTACATTTCTTGCCCCACTTGGTTCCACATAACATGATTGCATTTATTATCATACTATGACTTGAAAGGCTCAAAAAATGACTTGTCCAGCGACTGAAGTCTATGTGTTGTATGACACTGACAGCATATCTTGTGGATACTTTTTCTTCAAAGTATCCTTGAAGTTGCAAATCTGATGGGAAGCATGGACACCTTAAAAGTTATGGGCAGGGATTTGTAACTCTTGTGCCTGTAAATTGCATAGCTAAGCCATTAAATTATTTTTCTAATCCACCCAGTTCCACAAAACTGCTGGAAAAACTGTCTGAAAATTCTGAATGATATTCCTTGCCTGTAAAGGTACACATTGGTGACATGAAATTGCCAATAGTATCCGTGTAGGCCTGGAATGTAAAAGGCTATCTTCTTCTCACAGAAATCTGAGGGCAACTGTATTACTTCCCTTCCAAGCACACACTCTTCTTTTTTTGGTGTACTGTTAAGAAGACAGAAAGGGCTTGTCAGAATAGCATGTGAGTTCTAGTATGTTTATTGTACCATATTCCCCAATGATTTCTCCTGGTAAGAAAAAACATTTACAAAAAGTCTTGTCTGTTAAAGCCACAGGTGTAATTCTGTGAAAGGCCTTCTGCTTTTCTAAATCCCATCAATAGGCTGCACTTTTGAAATTCCCTGAGCTAATAAAGTCCTACTATTTTTGTACGTGTATTTACTCAGACGTTGAGTTTATTGCACTGGATTCCTGAAAATTGAAAGAAGCCCTTCCAACATCAATCAAATCCATTCTAAATCCACTGAGAGGTAACTTTAAATAAGCCACTTCTCTTGATCCTTCCAAAATAGGAGTTGCTCTCCCTTATCCTTAATGACCTATCCAAATCACAATTCAAACGTCTTTGAAGGCACGAATGAGGCAATCTGAGTAGGTGTACTGATGTGTCTGGCTCTGCTTGTCCTGAAAAGCTTTGAGAGTCTTCTGCATATCATTCTGAGTCCATGAAGTGGCATTTTCCTAACTTGACTAAGTGAACCCAATATAAGGATTTACACCTGCAAGTAGGGAGTAGTACGCAATATGTCAGGATCTTTACTCTACAGTGAACGACCCTATTCAGTTAGTGCAGGCACCAGTAGACCATCAGCAGATTATAATGTAGGGTAAAGGGCGGAAGTATCATCAAATTAAGGTTGGAGCCCAGACATACAGGTCGAGATGTAATATAGAGGATAACAAACACTGGTTTACAAGTATTTAAACACTGAAAGTGTTAAAATTTATATGACTGAACCTGACAGCTTGACTATGCAAAATAGATTCATTCTTTCAAGTACTACAAATATCATATATCATCCTGACAATTTTGTTTTGTGAACAGTGCAAGCGAATGAGCACCATAAAAGTGAGGAAAAAGACACTCTCTAGCGCAGAGAATCAACATCTTTACCAGTTATATGCAACAATAAAACAAACTTTTTATATCTGTTTTTTTTTTTTCAAATTCAAAAATAGATCCAGATACAGGCTGGGAAACAACCATTGGATATAGAATGAGTCACAGATAAAAAAAAACAAGCATTCCATTCCCACAGGAACAAGTCAAGGCATTCATAATATAAAACAAAATAAAGAACATATCAGCCATATATACAACAAAACTCCTCCAGTATGGAACTAATGACTCATCTATTATTTCCATAAAATCCAGTACTTTATGATGTGGAAAAGTCATATTAGATAAATAAATAGTACAAAGAACTAAGCCAACATAAGAATAGAACCAGAATACAATTAATCTTACCGACTAGTACATACAAAATTCATCCACAGTATAGAATGGGTGACAAGTCGAGGCATTCATAATATAAAACAAATAAAAAAAAAAAAAGAACATATCAGCTATATATACAACAAAACTCCCCAGGTTTACAAAAACAACACAGAACCAAGACATCATATTACAGAACTCTCAAAGGTTTCAGGCGTCAGTACAAGCTCTTTTTTCATTTTCATTACTCGTCTATTATTTCATAAAAATCCAACACTTTAGGATGTGGAAATGTCATATTAGATAAATCAGAAGTACAAAGAACTAAGTCAAGACATAAGAATAGAACCAGAATACAATTAATCTTACCGACTAGTACATACAAAAATTCACCCACAGTATAAAATGGGTGACAAATCAAAGTGTTCACAATATAAAACAAATAAAAAAGAACATATCAACCACTCATACAACAAAACTCCCCAAGTTTACAAAAACAACACAGAACCAAGACATCTTATTATAGAACTCTCAAAGGTTTCAGGTGTCAGTACAAGCTCTTTTTTCATTTTCATTACTCATCTATTATTTCATAAAAATCCAACACTTTAGGATGTGGAAAAGTCATATTAGATAAATAAGTAGCACAAAGAACTAAGTCAAGACATAAGAATAGAACCAGAATACAATTAATCTTACCGACTAGTATACACAAAAAATTCATCCACAGTATAAAATGGGTGACAACTCAACAATTCTTTTAGTTTTAATTTAAACCACTTAATATCTTTATATAATTGCTTCAAATTTAGTGGGAGACAATTGAATAGTTTGATGCCCATATAATATGAGCCTTTCTGATATAATGATAAACGAGGTGAGGGTTGATATAGATTTATGTTGAATACCTGTCTAGTGTCTCTATTATGTGGATCAGATACAAAATAATACTGATCCATGTTATCGACCACAAAAGATAGTCGTGAATAAATATACAAAGATGACAGATAAGAATTTTTAGAGTAGTGAATATCGTTTGATGGTGGCTCAAAAGAGAGAGATAAGAAGAAAAAATTTAAGATAATTCTAGGTACACAAAGGGACAAAAAGGAGATTAATGTAAATAATGTTAATGGTATTTTGAGATGCATTTTGTAAAAAAAAAAAAGTATGAGATTTCAACAGCTCTCTGTAGTTATTTCCGAATCTGTCACTGTTGTTTACTATATGAATCCAGGGTCATTATTCTGCAAATTACACTTGTCCATGTTATTGTGGGTGATACTCGATGCTGATTTATGTCTTTGGAATGGAAATGTCATTGTTTTGGTCTATCTTTCACCATTTGAATGTTTTAAGCAAAATTTATTTCAGAAATATTACGCTTCTCAGTTCATATTGTTGAACGGTTTCTCATATTTGGTACAAAGTGGTTTTAACCGTCGATTTATAGAACTAGACATATTGTACTTTTAATACACTGACAACCGCAACTATGCCAAGCTTAGGAACTCCTGTATTTTCTCACTTTGTATAAAATGCGTTATATCACCAGTGAGCATTGCATGCAATTTATTTAATGAACGCCTAGTAATTAAGTGCTTAATTAATTAACTTTCATCATAGCTTAAAACCCAATTATGTGGTACACAATTGAAGGAACGTGACGTAGTTACAGATGCATGTGATACACATCAAATAAATTTCCCTCCGGCCGCCAATTCATTAACTTTAAATCTTCCAGTCATCAGTATCACAGCCTGGAATATGATAACTGAAATCGGAAAGGCGATTTACAAAGGCATAGTAAATATATTTAAGATTACGCATTTAAGAGTAAATGACAATGTTAAGCAGCCTTTCAACTTATGCTCAAATTGCCATTATACATTTTTAAGGTCTTTCATTCTGGTCCGTCACACTAACAAATTAACAATCAAGTTCCTTCCGTCAAATGTGACACTTTTTTAAGTTTTCCACCTCGTCACCACCTGCCTTACATGTTTCGGCTCACCACGGAGCCATCATCAGAGGCNCCATTATACACGTATGTTTACAACAGTTCAATTTGTTCCCGTTTAATGGACGAAGTGGAAGCGTATTTCAGGACATCACATATCCCGTACACCACGTGTTCGATTACTTAACATTGGATTAAAGCAAGACATTCCAGATTCTAGCAACACATGAAGGATCTTTTACTCCACTTTTGTACTGAAAAGTACACAAACTAGGACACTAGTTCGCTGGCCGTATTAAATAACTATCAACGGCGATCAATTAGGTGTGATTTTATACTATCAGACGCCATAGGTACATCTGGGTTCTACACGGAATGAACTACAGCCACCCGTTTATCACAGGTGAATCAGGAAAAGTAACGTGTTCGTATTCCCGCTAGTGATTTCGTAAAGAGTATGATGACTGTTATCACAACAAAACTAACATTAGCCTTGCAGGTCAAATACAGTTTCTTAGCTTGACTTCTGTCTACTTAGTCTGCATGTTATAGGGCACATAGGTCTATGGGACTTACCTCGAGAGGAGGGGGTCGGAGAGGGACCTAAATCCAGTAGGCGTATTTCCTCCGTTTTTTCAGTCCACGGCTTTACACCAGACGTCAAAACTGTTTTATTACGACTGGGATGTTCAATGGCACGTTATGCAAACAGTGACGTGCCTAGCTTATTAAGCTTGAGAAATTTTCTGCAGAATTTACAACATCACCTGAAACTCGATCCATTCTCGGGCCGAGTTCGTTACGAACTACGGCTGAGATCGATAGGGCAGACCAGGCCTTGTTAGCTCATCTCTTCCAGTCACATCCATGCGATCATTTGTCCCCCTTCAACCCAGTCCTGGGCGGTCCTGGGACAGATATAAGGATCGAACCCTGTACTTCGCAGGTGCAAGATAATCGACCCCTTCAATTCAGCATTATTTGCTCGAAAATCAATACTGCAGATTAGTTCCTTCAGTGCGAATGTCTACAACCGTACTTTTGGATGTCCAAAATTGCAGCACTCAAATCGCAGACACGCCCATATTTTTGTATGGCATTATTTACGAGCTCTCGCTTATGATAAACTCATTCATAACTTCGAATATAATTTATTTACGAAGAAATGCTGGGAAACAGTTATTGCAACACTCAAATCGCAGACACGCCCATATTTTTGTACGGCATTATTTACGGGCCCTCGCTTATGATAACTCATTCATAACTTCGAATTTATTTACGAAGAAATGCTGGGAAACAGATATTGCAACACTCAAATCGCAGACACGCCCATATTTTTGTATGGCATTATTTACGGGCTCTCGCTTATGATAACTCATTCATAACTTCGAATATAATTTATTTACGAAGAAGAAATGCTGGGAAACAGTTTACTTTCGTAAATGGTCACTTCATTTTATTAACACACACACATTATATGCAAGTGTACCTACGTATACATAACGTTGAGATTTTTTGTTATCACAGCAACAAAGTGTCCATCGCTTACACGCTGCACGAAACTAAATAACTCCGTAGCAAGCGAGGGGGTAAGCAGTCTTTTGTTTCAGTAAATCGTTACTATTCTATGAGAATTTATAATTTTGATGGGCATGAGGGGAGAGTGATACACTATATAAAGGGGATTTCCGACTGATTACTTATGCGTGTTATTCCCGAGATATGATGTATAACGCCTTCTCTCATGAACAATACGTCTGGGCCCCAGACTGTCATTCAGTAACACGTGGGATTGGAAAATAATAAAGGAGAAAGCGGGGTAAATTAGAGGTATGAAGGCTTATATAACAAATAATGAGACAGACGGCTGAATTCTCAATAGATGTTGCACCAATGTATATTTCGTATGTATATATGTATATGCGGTCTCTGACATACACTGAGGGTGTCTGAGAACAGGATGCTGAGGAAAATATATGGACCGAGGAGAGATGAAGTGACAGGAGGTTGAAGAAAACTGTATAATGACGAGTTTCATAACTTGTACATTTCTTCAATAAAATTGGAATGCTCAAGTCAAGGACGATGAGATGGGAAGGGCATGTGGAACGGATGGGAAAAGGAGGACTGCATATAGGATACTGGTAGGAGAGCCAGAAGGAAAAAGACCAGTAGGAAGACCAAGATGTAGGTGGGTGGACACTATTAAAATGGATCTTAGAGATAGGATCAGATTGATCTGGCTCAGGATAGGGACCAGTGGAGGTCTCTTGTGAACACGGTAATGAACCTTCGGGTTCCATAAAATGTTGGGAAGTTCTTGAGTAGCTCCACAATTTGCAGCTACTCAAGAGGGCCTCAGGTCCATGAGTGATATATGAGGGTAAGTCAATAAGTAAGTTACAAATGGATATAGAACTCAAACAAATAAGAGTAGGGATTTGAAAAATGCTTTTATTTCTCAACATAATCTCCCTGTACATTGAGGCACTTGTCCCATTGTTTCACAAACCCCTGAAAACCAGCAGCATAAAATTCTTTGGGCTGCTGTCAGAACCAGGTGGTGACTTCCTTTTCTACAGCTTCATTGTCAGGAAAATATTCAGCCGAAAGATGACGTTTAAGAGGGCGGAACAAATGGAAGTCACTTGGAGCAAGGTCGGGGCTAAGGCCGCGACACAGCTCAAGTGGTTAGTCGCTGGCTTCCCACCATGGAGGACCGGGTTCAATCCCAGGGTCTGGTTAAGTGGGATTTGTGGCAGACAAAGTGGCACTGGGGCAGGTTTTCTCCTAGTACTTCGGTTTCCCCTGCCAATCTTCACTCCACCAAATTCTCCATCATCATAATCATCTGGGGCAGGCTACAATAGGCCAATCAGTGGCCGCTGTGCCGAGTGGACCCAGTTGGACTCCACCCCCCTTAAGCATATTTAAAAAAAAAATTAAGGTCGGGTGCTATATGGAGGATGTTTGAGGACTTCCCACTTGAAATTTCGCAGTATCTCATTTGTTCTGTTGGCAGTATGGGGACAGGCATTGCCATGCAAGAGCAACACGCCTTTCGTGAGGGGTCCTGGCCTCTTCCGTTGAATGGCCTTACGAAGCTTCCCGAGGATGTTACAGTAGGAGCAGCATTTACGGTTTGTCCTTGAGGCTGGAATGCGGTGAGCAGTATGCCTTTGTGATCCCAGTCACTGCCTGGTTCCGACAGCAGCCCAAAGAATTTTATGCTGCTGGTTTTCAGGGACTTGTGAAATGATGGGACAAGTGCCTCAATGTAGAGGGAGATCATGTTGAGAAATAAAAGCATTTTTTCAAATCAGTACTCTTATTTGTTTAAGTTCTATATCCATTTGTAACTTACTTATTGACTTACCTACGTATGTAACATGAGTGTTCAGTCTGCCAGACATCACTTCATTCCAGTTTTGCCTGCAAAATGCAAAGAGTCCAATATTGCCTAAAATCATTACATGGTGCATCCTGTTGCATGATCAGACTAATGAAATTGCTGTGTTCTGTCTACATGACTATAAGAATGTATACCCATTCAACTGATTAAAAATTACAACATGTTTTTACCATTCAGCTGGTCATCAGCAGGTGATACAGTACTTACAAGTGTTAGTTAAAATAGTTGCAATTCAAAAACACTTGTAAAACTGCCAATAGCAGAAGGAGTCATTAGCGCTGATAAATGCACGCCTTCAGGTGGTCTGATCTTGTCACTGCAGTAAACCACATTAATAGTCAGTGTCTGTTAGAGGTACTGATAGGCAGTCGACATTTATACTGAAATGAAGTTCACTGTTGAACAGCATGTGTTTATTGTCAAAAATCTGCAAGGAAAAAACTTACAGAAAATGTATCCATAAGTTTTGTCATAAATATCCTGACTTGCCAGTTCCGACAAAGTCATATGTATCCAAGCTTGTGGAAAGTGGTGGGCCACTGGTTCAGTGTATGACATAAAGAAGCAATTGAAGAGGCCTGTGCTGACTGAAGAAAGATTTCGGGATATTGAGGCACGACTACAGATCAGTCCTCGAAAACTGTTAAGATGCTTAGCACAGGAAACCAGTGTTTTGCTAGGATCTGCTTTCACAACTACAAAATTAATCAAATTTTGCACGTATAAAATAAAAGTTGTGCATGAGCTGAAAGAACCAGATTATGCAGCAAGAATTCGTTTTTGCAACTGGCTGCTGCAAAATGTGCAAGATGGAATCATGGATTCACAGCTTCTGTTCATGACTGATGAAGTGTGGTTTCATGTTAGTGGCCATGTCAATGCAAAAAATGTAAGAATATGGAGCAATGAAAATCCTCACACTATACAGCAAATGCCATTACATAGTGAAAAGGGGGGGGGGTGGTGTGCTGTAAGTCCGTGGCAAATCATTGGTCCTGTGTTTTTCCATGAAAACATAAAACTCTGGCTGCTATGGTAATGATATGCTGAATTCGCTCTTCAGTCAGCTGACTGCTGAAGAAAGACAATATGAGTATTTTCAGGAAGACCACGCTACAGAACATCCCACATACTATCACGCTGTTTCACTGATTAACGGACAACACTCACTCCTAAGTCAATAGCACATTGCTAACAGCTCTCATATTTATACAGCACCTGCTGTCCAGCTCACTTTTCACCATCATGCACGCAGTCCTACATCACTGGCCAGACAGACCAGCCAAAAGGCAGTAAAACACTATCTCCCGTGGTGGAACAAACGGCCCTTTCCGAAGTGGTTGTCTATTGGAGTATCGACAAATCCCACACAACCATGGTCACAATACGGGAAGTGTTTGAAGACAAATTAATCAGCAGGGGACTGTGGCCTCCCAGATCCCCAGATCTCAGTTGTTGCGATTTTTATCTTTGGGGAAACCTAAAGGGAAAAGTCTACAATAATCCTCACAGCACTGAAGCTCGACAGTATGAAATAACACGTGTAATTGATTAAATTACCAGGGACCAACTTCAGAGTGTCACAAATTTATTTATGTGATGCAAGGCATGTTTGCAAGCAGAAGCAGGTCACTTTCAGCACCTGTTATAAAGCACGGTAAGTTTGTGTTATCCTTTTATAGTATTCTTATAAATGTATGTACAGAAACTGATGTGAGGGAATCAGCGATGTGACTGCACTGTTGCTAGCGGGGAAGGGCACAGTAGTCGCAGGGAAATGTTCCATCTACGCTAGCAAGAGTGCACTTGTTTATCAGCTATAATGACTCATTCTGCTATCGGCAGTTACAGCAGCAATCTGTAATAAAGTTGTGTCCACTCTATGCTGCTGCCATGTTTCCTTAATCACTAAACGACCTGTATAATTTTGTTTAACATACATAACAATTCATCAAATAATGAAAGTCATATTCAAATATGGATCTTATCCTGTAATAGGACATTTGAATGACAAAATATTCTGTAAAGGTGTGAATCAAAATTGAATCTACTGTGGTAAAATGTTCAGATAAAGACCTGAATAAAATCAACAGTCAAATGGATGAAGGTACAAGACAATGGCCACTACTTTGATTCTGAAACACATGAAAATATTTCATAAAATTAATATTGTCATTTTGCCTAAACACTCTACTAAAATACAATGAAGAAACTTAGATGATTCACAGTCCTAAGACCAAACTGCAGGAGGTTGTGGACAGGAATGAACCATCAATTCTTCAGCCTCATTGAGTTACAACATCTTGCAATTTTATAAGAGAATGTAATAATTGTAAATTTGCATATATGTTCAGTTATTTACGTCTTTATCTATTACTTTTCATTATAATGAGTGAAAGGCAAAGATTCCAAAGTTATTAGTTCTTTTCAGTTTGAATTTTACATTATATTTAACATAAGTGTCTTGACTGTAAGTGAGGGATTCAACACCGTTCTTTGTATATGTAAGATAAACACCGTCTTAAGTGTAACAATTTAATTTAGTTCTTTCTTCTTTCCCCTCACTCCACACTACATGTTTCGGCCCTAAATGGCCATCATCAGGTGTGTATTCTTACGTAGCTGTTACACTGCTTGTTAAAATTTAAAATCACCAGTCTTTGTAATTGTATAAAATGTTTGTTAACCTACACACGTTAATTTTGATTTCTAATTAGCACTTTTTTAAAACTTTAATTCAAGTTAAAATATCTATAAAATTTCTGTTCTTTTCCTTTAAAATTTTCCTCAGGGTACATGCCCTATGTCTAAGTGCTGCAGCGGCCACTTCTTGTTTATCGTTGTTCAGGTATTGTTCTGTGTAGGCTCTCTCTGTGTGTGTCGCTGCTTATCTTTAATACGTGTTTATCTTACATATATTGTGCGAGTGTAACAGGATGCTCAAATATAATACCGTTCTTTGTGTTTATTCAAAAGAACATCTCAAATTTGAGGTCCCAACAACAGTGACTATGAACAGTGCTATCTTGTGGTATGTTATGTTGTGTAGTATGGTTGTCTGTTTCTTGCTTGCTATTTGCTTCAATTACTCTTAAACCCTGAAGATGGAGGCAGTATCTTCCTCCATGTCAGACTCTCTGAATTAAATGAAATTGCAACCCAGAGGAGAAAGTACTCTTCACAGTCACCTCCTTAACAGCCACAATTCCAACAGAATACATGTACAGTACTTTCATTTACCTTCTCCAGCTCACACACCCACTTCTCAGTGGCACTGAATAGAGTCCCTGACATCAACAACCAGTTGTCTAGGTTGACCCCATAAAGTTTGTTGCAACTATCAGGATGCAACTGATCAAGTCTTCTTGATCTTGTACTTTCACAGCAACCCCATAAGGAATAATCAACTGGGTTTAGATCAGAATGTGGAGGCCAAATTATCAGACACCCACAGTCAGTCCACGTGTCCAGAAATTGTATGTTTAATCAATTTAGCACCTAGAATGAAAAATGGGGAAGGGCACCACATGCCATCACAAACATTAAGGAGTACATCCTTCAACAAAAGTGGAAGTATTGTTTTAAAGGAAATAAGCATACTGGATTCCACTGAAATGATGTGCCATCACATAGGTCATAACCTATGACTCAAGGCCAGATGTATGTACAAATAAATAATATCAAACCTGGCATGTATTCACTTAACAAAAGCCATCAAGCAGTTATACATACAGTAAAACTTCGTTACTATGGAGGTGTTGGGAAACAGAATGAACACCTGCATTATTGGCAACCCGCAGTGTTTCAGAAATTTTGTGAGAAATAATATTCTTAACATGAAAGTTTTTTCTTACAACAAATTTAATAATCAATTACAATAAAAACGATTACAAATTTAGGTTTAAACACATGCCTTATTTAATCAGTGTTTTTAAAATAGCCCAATATTTTCTTTCAGCATGAGAGCTAATGCTGTTTCCTCATCACATATCTTAATATTTTTCAAATGTAAAAGCTGGAGATGATAACAATCACTCTGTCTTTCTCTCCAATTCATCAGTTCACTAATGCTATCCAATACTCTGCTAATTTTAGGGTGTTCAACCTTACACACTTCTTCATTTTCACTGTCGTTTAATATTTCCATTGCACCACACTTATTCCAACACTGGAGGTCCTTTCCATAGCTCATGTTGAGAAGAACTGGTGTCTCATTAGCAAATCACCAATCACATGCAAGGTCATATTACCAACTCAGAGCAACCGACCAGATGCAATCATTTGAAAGGCAATGTTTAGAAGAAACAAATTGCAGTAAATAAAAAGAAAATAAATAGAATAATTTTGGGCGATGGGACTAGACCTGCAGTATATCCAAACTCACAGCACAGTGAGACGCATTGTAACAGAGCTTTACTATACTTATGTGATGATGCACAAGGAAGAACCTCTTAACATTTGAAGAATTATAAATTCCCATCTTGGTTGTATGCATTCACTAAGCATACACGTAAGGTGTAACCGTACTGCCACTGTGCACTAGAGTTAGGAATACGAGTAATTAGAATTATTAACACAGAGATTTTAGTTACTAGTAACATGTAACGGGCAAAGACACTGGGACCTAGTCACATTCCTGCTTGTAGGAAACAACTTATTTCCAATCTTGCTGTTTTCACAGGAAGAATCCCCATTGCCTTTCCTGGAAATTTTGCTTGTATGGGCAACAACAGCGATCTTTGAGAATACTATATGTGACAGTTCCTCTACCTTAAAAGAGCCATTCTGGAGGCCCATGCTAAAGGCAGTATCCATTACCGAGCTGTCAAAAGCACCATTAGAGCTTTAAGGGCCAAAACTGTATACTGCATTTAACTGATTGGAGACTAAGGAACTGCAGTAAACTCCCAAATTTCAAATATGCCAAATCAACAGAATTTAGGGGAGTGTCACAGTAGAGGAACCGACGGATGGAGGACCTCAGGGTTTTGAGAGACAGCAGTCTCTGGAGTCAGTTGTCTGTCAGCTCTTAAACTATTCAAATGCAAAAACTGCATCACTGCTGTTCACTTTTACAAAGTCTAAATCAACACAAGATCAAGTTATCTGTATAAACTACTATGCACAACAGTTCATGCTACTATGCTAAGTGGAGTGAAGTATTCATAGCAAATGGTATTACATGTGTGTTTGAAAAAGCTTCTACCATCATATCAATAAATATTACTAGTGTTTAAAATGTTGAGTGTGATAGAACTGAATTCTTCTCTCCCGCCACCTAAGCTGAGGACCTGCCCAATGCCTTGTGGAAGAAATCTCAGCCCTACCACAGCCACAGGAGTTACCAATAACTATACCTATCCTTCCTACCACAAAGATTAAATATTGTAAGCAAACCCAAATGGAGCTTACTGGTACTCAATCGGAGAAAGAAGGTTATATAGGAGAAGAGAAGAAGGGTGGTAAGAAAGGATCAGACACTGTTATGATACGAGTACATATTGCTCTGGTTCCACTCAGCTACAAAACTTTCTGTGAAAAGGATGTGCCAATCGGTTGTGTAATAAAGGCTAGTGTAATGATAGAGAAAGCTTCATCACACTGGAGGGATATTTTACTTGCCATAATATGATTAGTAGTTACAAGTTTAGAGTTTATCTTTCATGGCATACAGACCACTTGCAGAATATCTCAAAACTTAGCCATACAAAGGACATAAAGTTCAAGACTTTGCCAATTCTGAAAACAGTGAAATCCTATATTTAGTGAATATATAAGTATTCCTGATCACAGCCAAAGCCAAACATTAATAATGTATTACAAGGTTCATTCCAAAAGTTCCGACCGGGAAGACCCCAGTCATGCACATGTGGATGGGCATGCAATGACTGATAGTGATTATTATAACCTACATGTAGCAATTCTTTCTCAAGAGCTTGGATGACTTCTATATTGTTATAACCATTTGCATGAGTGTGTGGTTTTGCTTTTCTTGCATTGTGATATGATGTCTATAAAGGAGCAATAATCATGCCTCAAATTTTATGTCAAACTAGGTAAAACAGCTGTAGAAACCAAAAGAATACTTAGATCTTATGGCAATTAGGTTTTAAGTAAAATGATTACCTATGAGCGGTGCATATTTCCAAACAGAAGACAATGAGAAGTCAAATTGACCTTAAACTTTGAGAAATAATTCTTTGACTGCATAAGTGAAAAACATCATCAACACCAGTCACCAACTGACTGTACATGAAATAGCAGAAAAGACTGAAATATCCACTGGCTCACATCACACAATTTTAACAGAAGATTTAGGGATGCAATGTTTCTCAGAAAAATTTGTGCCATGGCTCTTGACTGAAGATTCAATGTCCTTCAATTTGTGAAGTCCTCCTGCAAAGAAGTGAATGACAATATCCAGTAATCCTGAGTGTTATACACTATTGCCAGAACACTCTACAATCTACATGAAAATTTGTTTTTTTTTTATTATACTTATAGCTTAACAGTCAATCAGCATGAACAACTGACAAATTATTTAGCAATTTTAGAAGTACTTAATTCTTCTCATGAGGCACTACAACCCAGAGTTACTGTGAAATAACACAACCTGACCCCTGCCCTATAATATGATAGGAAACTAAACATGTAGCAAATTTCTTCTTGATTTCAGAGATCCTGAGTGAATCGTATATATCAAAACTTCCCTTTTGTAATAAAATAAATTTCTGGTTCTATGAAAGAGAAAGTGACAGCCAGCTACCAAGTATGATTTCTTTGCTGAAATTACAGCATAATACTATGGAATAAATACTCAGGAAAAAGGTGCTATTACTGTTATGATACAGGTGTATTATATATTAAGAAAATAGATTTTATATTACTATATTAAGGATCTTGGTGGTCTTTTGATCGTGTATGTAATTTTATATGTTATTTTGATATATGGAATGTATTGCTGTACAGTAATTTTGTTGTATTGAGTATTTAAATTTTGACGATGATGACTATCTGATTATGTATGTATAGTTATATGTTATATTGTATTGTTGACTTGTTCTATATCTGAGGCAGATGCCTCTAGGGTTTTTTGGAACTATAAATGAATGAATGAATGAATGAATGAGACTTAATGCATTTACCTATAAAATGGCCTAGAAGTGATGGAAATTGTCAAGAAAGTCAATGTCATCCTCAATCCAAGCATCAACATGTTCTTCAGAAATCTTATTTTCATCATCGCTTTCAGACTCCTGTATCTCATAAGGTGTTCCTGTAATGAAAAGCATCGCAAAACATCCATATATCACAATTAAGGGGACCAAACTTTGGACTCTGTTATAGAGAAGTGTTCTGTGCAAATACATTGTATATATGAGACTGTAAGCTGCAATATTAGTTCACATTTCCATCACTTTTGATTTAAAAAAATCTCAGAGATCATTACAATGGAATGTTCTCTACTGTAATAATAAAACAGGGGTTGACTGAATACAAATATCTACTTTTCCCTGTCCCTCTTTGTGATTTATTTCACAATTCTGTCAGTGTCTGAGACTCCTAACAGTAGAGTTGGTGAATAATAAACTCGAAAAGGATTTACTAGAAACCAGTCATAGCATAATTCAGATACTATCCCAGCAACTGTTTGGAGGGAATGAGGAAAACCACAAATAATCCAAACAGGGTAGCTGGTGTCCCAGCTGATAGTTGCATCAACACCTTCTGAATGTTTTGAGCTATACCTCTCCACCAACAGGCTTACTAATTTTTCTATCATAAGAGAGGTATGTATTTACATTTTATTTCAGTAATACATGGAAACTATGAAAGCTGAAAGTTTACTTGACTTAACCTACTGCTGTAATTGGTACATAAGAAATTCCAGTATCTTCTTCCCACATGTCAGCATGAGACAGAGTGGAGAAATTACTTTCTGCTTATGAATTGTTAAACAACAAACATGAATATGTCTGCAACCTGTTTACTTAGGTGTACTGCCATATTAGTTATGGAACATAGCACCAAACATACGATAACCTGAACATGTTAAAAGCGGTCACCAAACATCGGCCAGTGATTTAGGTGTAAAATTAAGGTTGCTGGATTACCATTAAACAGGAGTGTAGTCATCAAACACAAACAATGGACACATCACCCAGAATGTCTTGGCACATGAAGAATTTCATGGGGAGAAGGGACACATAAATTTCATGTGGAGGGACACTGTTGCTAAAATCAGATACAAATTATACCAATTATCTTTTAATATTATAGTTAAATATGTTAATATATGTGAGAGAGTCTGTTAGTCTTCAGACTGTAAATATCCTACAAATTATCAGAATGAAAGAACAACACCACCCAGACATCCAAGTATTAAATAGGTCTGTGTTAGGAACGATATGATGTCAAAGTATGAGATCTCCATTGCACTAGCACATAATCAGAAGACCAAAGAATGAATGAGGTATTACACTGTAACGGTCTTGAATTCTGGCAGAACTGTTTCATGTTTATGTAGAACTGTGCTGACATTTTGATAATAATTACCTGTCATTCTTTCTTCATCCTTCATGTTCTTTTCCCATGATTTCCCCACCATTAACATTTTCCTTGATGAAACCTTAATTTCTGAAGTTGAATCTCTGCAAATAATATTCAACATACTCAGAAAAATATACATAAATCAAAGAGAATGAAAAAATTTCTGGCAAAACTGATTAATGTTCACTGTAGTTACCAATATACTGGCATGTAATTTATTTAGTAATAATTTTTTTGAGAGCTATTCATGAGACATGATTCCACATTTCCTCCCCCACCCCCTTATGCTCAACAGCATAAAATGGTGCTGCATTTGAAATACAAGCTTTTAGGCATGTCTCTTCTGCCATCTTCTCTTAGTTTGCAGATAAGCAGTTATTCTTTGTGGTAACTGCAAACAATTTGTAGTAGGCTGTATCCAGTTTATATCCAGTGGATATTGATGTACTTACTAAATTGGTTCATTCTGCTCTAACATTCCATGAATATTAAGCAACACTTACGTTACTGTAAAAAGAGCTGGCTGTAAGTTGCTCCTTCCCTCAGCTTGGCCAGTCAGTTCAGCTTCAATACCTGAGATGTCACAAATTTTATTTGTGTATGGATATGAATCTGCAAACAAAGGAAGTAATGTAAATGATTCATTAATGCAGTGCCCTGACATCTACTAAAGTGAAATTACCACTGCAAGAATAACAATAAAGATGAAACATAATATTCTTGTCAGAAAGAGTAATGAAATGTCAGGCATGCGTGCGCCTCCCTTCTCTCTCTCTCTCTCTCTCTATATATATATATATATATATATAGTGTAACGTGGATGGCGCAACAGGAAGTAGGGGGTCATGTGAACTCTGCGTTTCCATAAGTGATGTCACGTACCCCCACTCCTACCATCATTAAGCAACGCTCGGTAAACACCCCTCCCCACTAGGCTGTAACATCACGCAACAGGCAAGTCTGTGCAGTGACTATTGCTAGAAAATGCGTAGGTAGAATCACCTGACAACAATACCTGATATCTGTTGCCAAGCAGCAATGTGTTCTCTATGTTGTCCGTGCTGAGCCTAAATAAGGAGCAGCAAATACTAATCAGGAGTAAAAAAAAAGTATAAGAGGCTTAAACTTGGCAGCGGTCAGGCATATGACCATTCAAGTGACTAGACTGCCGTGGTAGCGAATACTACTAGAAATAGGGCATAATCTGCTGTACTGAGCCTGGATTGACAGAGGCCTTGTATATATTGTACATAGAAATAGGAATTAAGATTAAAATTGTAAATATATGTAAATACTGACAATGGACTTACTAATATGGACTATGACTGACAAATGACAGACCCAACCTCTCGTCAGAGAGGGTGCCCCAAATGGACAGGACAGTAACTTTCATATAAGGAGAAAGAAAATCTGGTCATGAGCCCCAGCCGGGGCTAGACACCAGGACAGACAGACTGACGGTCAGTCGCAATGTGACTTGGACAGGCAGTTCAGTCTCAAATCAGAGACAGTAAAATATGGTCAGGAAGCCCAAGGGTTTCGGACCCAAAAAGACTGTGTTGGCAAGGACCAGCAGCATATACAAAATACAGACCCACCCTCTCATCAGAGAGGGTGACTCACAAAAACAAGACTGCAACAAGACAACAGCAACAAATATCTGGTCATGAGCCCCAGATGGGAATTACTGACTGACTGATCATGAGTCGCAATGTGACTTTGACTCTGACTTGATTCAGGAGTAGTGAGTATTGAGTAACTAGAGAGAGAGTTACTAGTATCCAGTATTCAGTATGAATTGAAGTCCAGCAGCTACGAGTTGTTATTCAGTTGTATCAAGTGAATGGCAGTGACTCCAGCAGGAGAAGTAATTGTGATAGTGCAGATGGCAGTAACTGGGAAACTGTAAATTGTGTAACTGTAAAAGCGAGTGGAATAAATTCGCTTGATCCAAGACGGTGTGAAGTTATTTGTCGCATTACATACCCAACATGTGACAATATATATATATCCATTAATACACATACAGGATATCTCACAAATCTGGGACCATAGTAATACTATGTATTCTACTGGAATGTATGCAACATTATCATACAGAGGGCTGCATGGCCCAGAACTATAAAACTTGGTAACATTCTACGCTGCCAACTGTAGAAACCATTAGGAAGACTGTTATTATGTCCTTCTCTTATCAACTCACCATGGCCTTTCTGTGTCCTGATGATGGTCATTGTAACCAAAATAATGTAAGGCAGATTTTTTTTATTTACTTAATTACTAATACACTTACACTTAATGGAATTCTATTATTTCATATACACATGTTTTGTTCCTTTGAAATTCCTCTAGAGTGGAATTCTCAATAGGATTTCTAAGTTTAAGAGCTACTTACATTTAGGATTTAATTTTTATAATTTCTCAAAATTACAAAATTTCTGTAATCAATATTAATTTCATTCCAGGGTTAAAGTTACTGGCTACTGCAGAAATTTTAAATGGGGTTTTAATGTTTACGCAAACACTTTCACTTCTCGTTCCCTTCTAGAGGGATGACATTTGTTAACTTCTTTCAAGGTGTGAAGTACATGCAACCTGAGAAGTTCTTTCATCTGGGACATTATGCTGTGCAGTCTGGTGCAAATAAACTGATGTTTTTGAGGAACATATCACCCCTTGCTTAGCTTACTCTCCCTGAAGATGAAGGCTACATGTTCCTCTCAAACATCACTTCACTTTCACCAGACTACAAGTCATTATATGTCTATCAGGACACAAGAACTCTTCTTAGTTGCTGCTGCAAGAGCCAAAAATCTGACAGTGCATGCAACAAGAGCTTGATCATGACATTCCTAGAAATTAGATGGAACTAAACAGTCTCCAAAGTATTCTTATTCTAAGATAGAAACTATGAGAAGTTGTCAGAATGTACCACTTCTGAGAGCATAAATATGGTAAAACATACCTAATCGTGAGGACAATCCAGTATATATAATGGGAAGAATGTCCATAGCAGCATCCCGGGGCACCAATATGTACCTTGGATCTATATCTATTATTTTTTCTCTCCTGAAATAACATTTTAAGGAAGTTCTCTTAAGCCAATATGTGTTTCCAGTGACAAAATAATGTAATCCAAGACCGACTACTCATTTGAATTTGGTGGAAAGGTTAAGAATGCTTGGAACTTTACCTCCATATCAACTATACACTTCAACGGTATGGTGCTTAGCCACAAGGATAAGTGTTTATAATTTTGGTTCTAATAAATATGTTTTAAAAATCTGATAAAGTTTCCTGTCACACTTTAGTGTAAATGTCAAATAGTTATAACCTATAGCTAAGTACTTGTATGGCAAGGGGACTGAAACTGAATTAAAACACTTCACCACAATAGTAATTACAAGGTGCTACTTACACAGCTCTAGTCCTCTGTATTACTGTAAAATATTCCTGGTTTGTTAAGGGAGTCCACTTCCTTTTCACTAGTGATTTGCATGTCATAAACCCTCTTGTCATTGTTGACAGTGCCATTGGTAAGGTCAATTCTCTCTCCTAAAATACAACAAGTCCATAACTTTGTTCAAAATGTTTCCTAAGATTTTAAGGTTCAAAACCAACTGATGCCAATGCGAAATGTCTGAACAAGTGATATACAGAAGAGGAAAACTTGAATTCTGCAGGCAGAATATTTCAGGCCATCAAAATCAGAACATTAAATTATATAATTCAAGCAATTTCATTCTTAATTGTGAAATTAAGAAAAAATAAATATATTCTTGTATGTATCACACATTCCAATATCATGCATGAAACAAGATAGTAGCAAAAAATGCTGTCACCAAAGTCTGAAAGGGACAGCAGCAGGTATAAAATCTCAAACACACAAATTTTGCTAATGACATCATGGGAAGCGTTAGCTATTGTGTCACACACAAACAAATGCAGCAAAGTATACACATCTGAAGGGCTGACTTGTGGGTGCAAGACTGTGGACACGTATTTAAAACTAAAGGACAAGGTGCAAGCAGAAAGACATAGCATTTGGTATTCTTTGCTAAAAAGCATTCTCTTTTGTCATTTCATATGCATCAGAGGAATTTTGATGCATCACTAGAAGCATGCAAATATGATGGATGAGATTCTGTGCCATATTAAAGCATCATAATGTGTGCTGAGATTACAGAACTAGTGCATGGAATGATGACTGAGGTTTACTTCCTACATGTAGTGTTTAACCAAAATGTCTACAGACGGTAATCTAATTAAATAAATAAATGAAAATTTAAGTTAAAAAACTATTTTTTATTATAATTCAACAGCAGACTGCTTTTATAAATCCTCTTGTAAATCAGGCACAGAGATTTTTGGACATGAACTTACTTGAAGAAAATGGTACAATAGGCCAGAAGTGGCCACAGTACAAGGGACTTAGTCCCACCCCAGTAGCAATAATATTACTTGAAAAAAAGTGTATGAATTATCAAGTGAAATGTGGAACTTTTCTGCACTAGTTCATGAGGTATCATATCCTATGCGTTATGCAGGTGTGTGTTAGTTACAACACTGTCATGTGACTATAGATAGAGTTTATGGACTGGATGATTGGATTTATTGCACCTTATACATTCACACACTCGGAACTACAGGCAATATAGCACTATCACCATTCTACATACTTTCAGTTCAGCACTGCACATGCACTAGGATTCTCAGTCTTCACTAGCTGCATCCTGACAATGGATTTATCAGTCTCACTGTAACTTCAAATCACACATGAAGTCTTTTTGTCACAGTCTAATTATCATCTTGCCCTTATTCTGCAACTGCCAACTCAATTCAGTTCCAAGCTCATATCCCAGCAGGCTTGCATCTCAAACTAGACTCTACTCTCTTAACTAGTTCCTGTTTGAGTTACTGTCCTGTTCATGTGGGGCGTCCTCTCTGACGAGAAGATGGTCTGCTGCTTTTCAAAGTCACATTCTGCAGTAATAACTCAGTTGTCAGTATGTACAATATTGTCACCTATAAGGGGTAGTTTAATGAATAATTGCGGGTTCTAGATTTGATGATCGGATTTTTTTATTATTACTTATTATTTATTTAAACTGTAAATGGGTTTTTACATGGTGGCAGTGGTACTACAATAAAACACAGCACACAAATACCACACATCACATAAAATAATACCCCACACTCAAAACACAGCATAAAAACATTAAAGGACACACTACACATCATTCATTCATTCATTTCCTTTATTTTCCATATATCCATACAGGTAACAAACCTAAAATGTGGAAATGGTCCCTCTGAATGAATACAATACAAATACAACTACAATTAAATAAATTCATAACACCAAAAAATAAGTATACTATACACTAACAGTAACAGTAATGAAATATGTATTGTGATTAACTGATGCACCCACATTTCATCATAACATTCCCTTCATTCCACTTCACTACACTTATGCACCCTTCACATCCTCACCACAGTTTACTTCCTTCCTGTTCCCTTCACTTCACTACATTTTTGATGATTCCCCCCACACCTTCACTTCACCTATTTATCACTTTCATAAAATTACTGATTTATAGGAGAGAGTCCCTACAGCATCTGCAGATAGTTGCTTCCAGAGCTGGATGGTCCTATTTACAAAGGAATATTTTCCAATATCTGTATTTTGCCTTCTACTCCTAATTTTCCTATCATGATTGACTCTGCTCATACAGCATGTTCTCTGTAATCTATTATAATAGATTACAGAGAACATGCTGTATGAGCAGAGTCAATCATGATAGGAAAATTAGGAGTAGAAGGCAAAATACAGATATTGGAAAATATTCCTTTGTAAATAGGACCATCCAGCTCTGGAAGCAACTATCTGCAGATGCTGTAGGGACTCTCTCCTATAAATCAGTAATTTTATGAAAGTGATAAATAGGTGAAGTGAAGGTGTGGGGGGAATCATCAAAAATGTAGTGAAGTGAAGGGAACAGGAAGGAAGTAAACTGTGGTGAGGATGTGAAGGGTGCATAAGTGTAGTGAAGTGGAATGAAGGGAATGTTATGATNCAATGTGGCAAGTTCTTGAAGTGATATATTTTTACATTGACATTCTGTTGCCATTGTTCTTCTGTGGAATTTGCTTCTAATACAAACACAAAAAAACTCTGCAGCTTGAGTCCGCAAAAGAACTATACCAACCAAGCAACCTCCGCCTGTTGGCAAAGTTAGTGCCAACTTTAGTGGATAAAGGGTCAGAAGTGAACATCATTCAATGAGTAACATTCAGTCTTCCCGTTCACAAGGTCATCATTGCATCTACTACACAACACGTTCCAAAATGACCTAGAAGAGTTTCCAACTGACAGGCATAGTGCCCAATCCTTTCCTAAGGGCAGGCCACACCAAAGTGCTACACAGCAGATTGGTACAATTTAAAACGCATGTTAAATATCTTTGAAGAACAGGATACAACAGGGATAAATAACAGTGGCATCTGCAAATGAAAGTGCAGTATATGCACTAAATATATTTAATTTTGGATCCATGGACTCTGATTGATTTCTGTATTCTTTATATTCCACCAAAACATGTGAACAACTTTTATATTAGATTTACAATTATTTACCACTGTAAAGAAAGCTATTTAATACTCACTTGAAACTCTGACATCATGGTATCAGAGTCACTAGCATAACGAATGGCACGACATGAATCATTCATATCTCTGAAAACTTTCAAGTAATTTTCAAGTACCATATGAAACAATTTTCTAGGATGGGAGAGTGTCTGAGCAACTATATCCTCAGGATCATGTGCCAGGAATTCAGCATCTTCTTCTGATTCTGTGAACAAATATCACACACACACTACCATGAAGCTCAAGAAGTCTGTATGAAAGTTGTGATGATTTCAAAGCATTTGATAGAGAAAAGATATCTGCCAACAAAAATTTTCCTATGAATCTCTGCAAAAAGGCGCAACAAAAGTACTGTCACGTGATTGAGTGACTACAGATGGGGTTTAGATTGGTAATTAGATTTACTGAACTCTTACAGAACGTAAGTACAAATAAATATAGCGCTATCACTAATTCACACACTCTGCAGTTCAATACAGTATGTACCAAGTCTTCTAATTCTTTCTTCACCAGCTGTTGCCTGGTGATGGCTCACAATAATATCCTCTGCTTACTTGCTCATATTCTTACTGGCTGGTGAATGTCTCACAGCTAACTCATTGCTCCAACTGTCCTGCTTATAACACCTCAGCATGGACTGCACAGAAAAGACTGTTCCTCTGTTGCTGTATCCAATTGTTGCAATGGAAACATGCTTGCTTGTGAAGCCGTTATTTAGTAACATCTGTCGTATATTTGCTTATCACACAGTCATTGCACAGCAATGTGTCTACATGCCCAGTATTACAAGGACTGTTCACACTGCTGCCAGAAAATGCAGTCATTCACATGTAATGATGTGGTTGTGTGCACGGTACATCAGCAGTCACACCACAAGCTATGAAACGTAAGTATAATTTTGATAACATCTGTCTGGTAATGTCCATCAGCACTGTTTTTACTGGCATTTACTCCTTAACCCAAAAAAATCCCTAAAACAGTTCCACTTGAACAACCCCTATACACAGAAACTACGAGGTGACAAAATTATCTCTAAACAACCACATCTATAAGCAAATTAAATAACCAATGCTGAGACCAGAAACTGCAAAGTCAGTCATTCACAATACAATCCTATCATTGGGCCAACTAAATGGATGTTTGGTGGCCATAATTCTTCAAAATACCATGAAAAAAAAATGAGTATCCTGTGTAGATATGAAAGAGTAGTCCCACACTTTTAGAGCTGAGAACACAACTAGCCTCCAATGGGGCATATTAAAAATGGCATGCAGGTCAACTACACACCTTTTTGAGAGTTAAACATTTGTATGAATAAGACGCAAATTATACTGATCTATATATTGTTTGAAAGGTCTTGAAATGTCAATTCCATGGGTGGCATATTTCAGGTAATTTATTTTAAGGGCAAAAATCACCAAAAATTTACATAAAAATAACCTATTCAAAAAATGTTGCTGTCCTCTGAGACAAAAGTACAAGACAGTACTTCTCAGTGGCACAGTGTGACTTTTTTCCAGTGTCTGTCAAATCCTAAGGCAGAGAGGTCATGAGAACTGAGTATATATACATCTTAAAGACAAAGCTGTGCTAAAAATTAATACAGTGTGACTTTTTTCCAGTGTCTATCAAATCCTAAGGCAGAGAGGTCATGAGAACTGAGTATATATACATCTTAACGACAAAGCTGTGCTAAAAATTAATAAAGCAATTTATTCTTCAGAATAGCAGAAAAGTCTTATAAGGAACAAGCAGTCCTTCAACCAAAATCATTGGTGTCAAAAATGACAAACTGCAAAAGTAACATAAACTGTAACAAGAAGATAAGATGGTACTGCAGGCTGATCTGGAAGCAATGGATGCCTGAACAACATCACTAACAAAAGAGGTAGCAACTTTTGCACGAAGAGACAGAATTCAAAACCCACATCTCGAATATCAAATCCTGCTATCAGAACCTTCAAGAAAGTCTGAAACTTTCTGGAAGATCCAGATATACTGTAGTGACCTCTAGAGACCTATTGCAGCATAAAGGTATTGCTGGTGGTGTGAATGCACTAAAAAAGCAAGTAATTATTTAAAATGAGGGGTGAAATAAATGCTATATTTTTGTGAAAGATTTGACATCAGCACAAGTTACCCCGGAACAAAAGATATAATTTTCTCGGGGACTGGAACAGATGGAAGCCAAAATATCTTATGTTAATGACAATGAAAAAGCTTAACCCTTTGACGTGGTCATTTAAATTCCGCGGCCGCGGCTCCTGCGGTAATATATTCAGCCGACCATTTAAATTTTGCTCGAAAATTATTTATTCATCATTGTTCTTAAATTCTATGAGATAGGAACATGAAACTTTCACTAAAATGATCTTAAATGGTGGTTTTATAACCTTACCTTATAATATGGGCGCCCTGTATCTCGGCCATGGAAGCAGGTTGTTTAGTATTTCAGCAGTGAATGGTACGCCTTGAAGGANTGTCCTGGTGCTAAACCATTATTAAAAATCATAGACTCAAAACACATCTGAAAACATATCTTGCAGAGAGCTTCAAGACTTTGTTGTAGAGAAACTTTCAGCCTTAATGCAGCAGCATTTTATCTGCAAAGTGCAGATGGAAAATCTGATAAGTGTTAAGCTACAGTTGCCTACAGACAACATAATCTACCTAGCAAATTTCTTGAAAAAATTTACTTATAATACAAGAGGCCTTTCAAGCCACACTGCACCAAACTGACTTCACATCAGGGAATTACAAACTTCAGACTTCAAAAGCATATTTCACACACTATCAATAATTCTCTGTGCTTTTAAACATCAAGCAGTGCAAGAAATAAAGGATCTCCCAAATACTTAGAATTTGCAGGAGGTGGATTCAACCAGAAAAAAATTCACAGAACTCTTTTGGCATAATCTGCTGAAAGAGTCACTGTTAAGCCCATGGCCTTAACCATAAGAACATCAAACCAGGCAGCTGATCCTGAATGCACACAAACCCAACTGAATATAAACTTGCACTTACCTTGTACCTGCAAATTTCTATAATCAACTGACTGCAACCAACATTTACCTGATTGAACCACATCATGAGAAAAAACAAATTAAGCCCACATGTAATCTATACCTATGCACACATTTAAAATGCATAAAATTCTAATATCACTATGTTATATTTACAGACCCAAAAAATGAAAGAGACAACTATTCAACTGGCACAGGATATGGCGTACAACTGAAAAACAGTGATAACCTGTCCGCAGCCTTAACACAACATTAGTTTTCTTATTTTAATAATAACTGCATTTATTCTTTAGGACTAGGATAAAGTAATTGTGAATAATTACAAACTTTACATAACTGTTATATAACAGTTATGTAAAGTTTGTTTAATGTCTGCATTGCCCCCCCACCCCTTCCAAAGATGGTCTAATAAGGACTTTAACATATCAAGGAATTAGAAACATGTGATTACCAATATTCAATTAGTCATATACTTGATGGCATTCTACCTTGATTCGAACAAGAAGTATACACAGCGAAGAGACTTTGAATTTTGATACCACGGCAATATCAGTGGGTTTACAAAAATGATCATGGAATCATGTACTTTTTGTTTCTTGTCACAGGTTATTTTACAGTGCTTTCAGTATACATACTATATTGCATCATATGGTAAAATGACTGATGAACTGGAACAGACTTGGAAAGTGAGAGGTCATGGCCTAATTGAGGCACTATCCTAGCATTTGCCTGGAGAGACTGAGGAAAATAATAAAAAAAACACACAGTCAGGATAGATGGCATTCTCATCAAGGCTTGGACTAAACACACCTGAATAAAAACCTGAAGAATCATCACTATACCAGCCTGCTCAGAGATATTTTATGTTATATTTCTTCAACAGAATTCATTTTTTAAACATTACTTATTTGTAAAATTAATTATAATGTAATGGATTTGATCAACACCTTGTGAAGAAACAGCTCTGTAAACATGGTCCAACATGCAGCAATAGAGGCTGTTTTTTCTGTGTCTGCAGTGACGTCATGCAGCAGCCAGTGGTTGTCACATGACATGTTTCCTGTGAATTGTGTCCATTCCTTGGCTACATAAGCTATATAAGACATAATTCATTCGGTTCAGGGACAAGTCAGTTCTCGGTAGTAGACAGCCACAGGAAGTCAGCCTGTCTAGATTTAACGTGTGATTTGAATATTTTATGTGTGCTCTAGCACAGTGATATTTGCAGTGTGTAATTTAGTGAGACTTTTATGGTTCTTGTATTATAAATCTGTGAGGACTAATGCAGACAGAGTGAGAAGATTAGCCTGGAGTGATTGTAAATTGTGTAAATCAGCAACAGTGTTATAATTATTTGTAGTTGCAACCTGTTAAGTATCCAAAAAATTCAATTACGAATCCAAACCAGCGTCTTAGTCACTGTGATATGTGACAATATATTATTAACCTTTAATGGCCGAATGTTATAATTATTGGCAGCAAGTAGCAAGCCAAGCTGGCTGAATGTTATAATTTTTAGAGGCAAGCCACGTGCTTCCTTTGTGAGTGCCGGCAGTTTGACCTTGGGTTTGAAACCCAAACAAACTCATGAACTTTCATGACAGACGTTTATTTGTTAGCTCTGAACAATGAAATCGTTTATAAGGGTACTGGTTTCGAACTATTTACATTTAGATATGACTGTTTATGACCTGGTGAGCCATAGAGTTCAGCTTTGTTTGAGAACTTACAGGAGGAAATATTCGTGGCGCACTTACATATCAGTGCTACCAGAGCTTTCAAGGAAGTGTGACGAATTCATGGATTGGTTTGCAGTGTTGAATTGTCAGTTAGGACGTCAGTGGCGGATTTTCTAATATTTCGTTATTAGTAAGAAGTCAGTGTCAGACTCCTTTATTTCTTTGTATATCATTTTTATTGTGTATCTCAGAAGAGGTATAAACCCACTGAGCCAGTGTTACTTTGTGCGTGAGGACATCTTCGTCACGTGACTTTCGGTATCAGTGGCGGACTGACACTTTTCAACTGCTATTGCAATTATTTTGCATCACAATTTTGTGAGTGTTCCTAACAGTCTCGCTTTTTCAATCATCATAAAGTATAGGATTTAGCTGGAAGCCCCCTCCCTCAAGATAGAACCTCAAAAACGAGCCGGATACTCAAAACTCCTCGATGCTGAAGAACTGGAGGAAACATTGATGGAAGATGAATCTGATGAAGAGTTGGAAGAACTCAGTGCACCTTCCTACACTGGATGACAACTTCCGAGATGAATCTGGCCATGCTATCAAACCTCATGTAATTGAAGACTACAATGCACACATGGGCTTTGTGGACAAATCTGCTAGAATGGTGAACAGCTATGACATTCCTTGGAGGACATGTAAGTGGACAAAGAAATTGTTATTCCACCTTCTAGATATGACTATTCTCAATGCATATCTGTTACACAAGTCATGTGATGGAAAAATGATGCACAAAAAATTCCGCGAAATTTTGGTGCGTGATTTGATTCTTCGATCACATGAGGCGAATATCACGGTCAGTGGCGTTTCTCGGGGGAGGCCAAGTTCATCTGGGACCCAACTGAGTCGACTGGAGGTGAAACATTCAAAACACTGGCCAGCTAAAGTGAAACAAAGATGTCACATTTGTTCTATAAACAAGAAAAGCAGGAGCAGGCTTTTCTACTGTAAACACGTGATGTTGCGCTGTGTCTCGTGGACTGTTTTGAGAGTGGGACACACGCACGTCAGAGTGTAAACTGTGAAGTGACACAGTCCAAACCGTGTACAGTCCAAACCAAATATTATTGCACATAGTGTCATCATATTTACATCACCAACACGATTCAAGGTTGAAGAAAAACAAAAGTCCTTTAGAATTTCATAACATATATAATAAAGATTATATTTTGCATTTCATGACAAAATAATCACAGTTAATTTTCATTTGTAAAACCTGCCCTTTCGTGTATATGTAGAAAATTTTATTATCTTTCAGATTCTTTTTAGTTCATATTCTGATGTTGCATAGAACGGAAAATATACATTTTTTTCTGAAAGTCTGCAATGTTAAAGACTTAGGGCCATTTAAATTCTGGCCGTAGGGAGCTGCCAGCAATTTAAAAGCCCGGGCATTAAAGGTTAATTTTCTGGATTACTCACATAACAATATGAAATAAGTATGATTTATTTCCTAGTGAAAATATATGTTCCCCAGTATTAGTACATAAAAAAAAAGTTTTAAACTGAAGTTCGGTTTGAAGCCACACTTTAGGCAAAGCTAAGTTTCTTCAAGTTCAAATTGGATTATAGTACAGCTCTATGAACAAATATACATGCATTTATTTCTTCCAGTTAAAGCAAGCCCATCAGTGATTAACATATCTTCAGGGCACTTTTGAGGTTCATACTTAGATTGCGTTAGTATTCTGTCATCAACACTTGACAGCCTTATGCTCTTCTTGAATTCTCTTTGATCAAACAAGGCATTTTATTTATTGATATGCCTGAAGATAAGAAAATAAGTCAACACTACAATGACAGAGGTTTTTTGTCATCTCAACATAGCTGCAATAGCAGTCAGGATGCCATTTAAAGAAGTCTTCAAGAGGTTAAGAGGTAATTTTAAACAAATCAAAAAATTAGAACACTGAAAACCTACACAAATATATCTGAAATAATCTTGTCCTCATCCCTCCAAAAAGATTCAATGTCTACTGGATTTTTAATAACATAAAACCTACAATATGGTCACCTTTGTAGTATCACTAAGCAACAAATTTATACAAAACTACAGAACTCACTTTTTGGATACAGCAACCTTCCAACTCGTTGGAAAATAGGTAGCTGTATGTCTTTACCAACAGATTCCAATTCCTGGGATGTTTTATTTGCAGGGAGCTGTTTCTTACATACATTAACAGAATTTTTTCGACTACTTCCTACTGGTAATGTGGAAGGCTTGGTTATATGATTCCTCTTTTTATGGGATGCTTGTTCAGTTGAGAGTGCACTATGTTGTTCTCTGGTTCTACTTTTATCTGCAAGAAAGTTAATTATTAGTTACAATTATTAAGTTAAGTAATTTTATATATGTAACAAGCTGCTGCCTAAGATGGTTCTAGAAAATGTTTTGTACAGTGTACAAATTTAATTTTTGAAGATGACAATACTGTCAGTTTTCATGCAAAATGGCATCATTACAGGTCACCGCGAAAATCAGAAGTTCGTCAGAACCCCAGCAATGTGAAAGTTATGGTGATCTCGTGTACGACTGTGATGGTGTTATCCTAACGCATACCGTTCCTTCACCAGAATAAAATTCTAAATTTCCAATATAGCCTGAAGTGCCTTCAGTAACTACACGAACAAGTAGGCCATACTTTGTAAGTTCCCAGGATTATATGTTCGCATATTGCACTACTCACTGACAGCTTGCTACGTACAGCTTGAAGAAATAAAGGCATTTATTTTCCTTTGCAGGGGCATACAGTTACAGCGAGGTCACATAACTGATTAGTCAGCAAACATTCCAGAGGCTTATCACGCAGCTACATGCAAGCTGGGTGGTGTCAGAGCAATGTATAGTGGGTTGCAACTTACTGTGTTCTAAAAAAGTATTACTAGAACGACCAGTCCGCCATGTTTAAAAGCGAAAAACGTATTAATGCACGCGCGGTCCGCAAAGTGTTAACTGCCATGCCATGAATACATAGGGGAAGTACATGTATAATTCCACAAATTCTTCACCTCTGCTCTAGATGGAAATGAGTGGTCAGTTTCATATCCCAGTCATTTTAGTCCTGGGGAAAAGGGTCCCTGGTACAAAATGATTAGGAGACTTGGACCTACAGCTAGTCTGGACACTGTGGAGAAGGGAAAAATCTTTTGCCTCTGCAAAGAATTGAACTCCAATTCCTCAGTAGTCTAGTTCATAGCCTAGTTGCTATATTGACTAAGCGCATATTGACTGAGCAAAACTGACTCTAACAATGAAATCAATAATTTAGCATGAACATTACCTACTTTGCATACACTCGTAATAGAGCTGTAATACAGCACTTCTAATGTCACCATGAACACTTCCAACAATTTTCTCTAGAACTTCAGCAGAAGGAACATCACAGCCTGTATTCAACATACAAATCCTCTTCAGGGCTTTCATAACTGACTTGTCAGACACTTTATTGAAACTGAAACAAATAAACTATTGACAATGCTTTCTGCAAATGGTTTAAATGAAAACAAGTAATGACATGACACTTCTGATTTTATCTCATACAAGTTCTGAGATATACACAGTATATATAACAATGGCAATGCAGAACTCAAGGATAGATATAGTAAAGTGTAACTACTAAGAAATTGTATCAAATAGTAACTTAATAATATTAAGCAACATTTCCAGAGCAAGATAAAATGTGAAACTTTTACAGACTGTTAAACATGAGATAAATTTTTCTTTCCCATATTTCAGACAAGGAAAACCTTGTTGGAAAGCATCTATGGTTCAAATAGGATAACATTTCATTTCAATGTGCATTTAATTTTATGAGGAACCATGTTCCTCTTTAAGAATTCTACTGATGAGATGCCCTTATCTGTCTGTTTATTCATTTCTCCTGCAGGAGGAGCAAATGAAGACAGAGAAATCTGTCATAATAACAGAATATGATGAAACATGTAATCACTGGGGCTGTGATGTTACAATTATTAAGCAGTGGCCAAGAACTGTTGCAATACATAAAAATATTTTGTCACTAAATTGCAATTTTGACTTATTTCTTGAAATACTTCAGCAAACAGAACACAATTTCTGAATCAAAATTCATTTTATTTTCTGAAACTTGATTTTTTCACTTACATGATTCTAGTTATGAAGATGAAATGTGAAAGTTTTATATACCTTATCTGGTGAATATTTAGTTCTTCTAGAAATTGCTTTGGAAACATTCCTCCACTTCCTTCTGTTTGTTCTGGTAATGAAAACACAATTGGTATTCTACCCATGACATGGTATCTCCTAGGTCAAAAGAAAAGCATTTTTCTAGAAAAAATAAGCATCATAACAAATAACATAAAAGACACATAGACTGCAATAAATTTAAAACAGTGAAACTCCCAATTAATGTCATAAAATTTCATAAAAATATATACATCATTCAGATCTGCAGCTTCAATTCATGTTGCTATGCGAAGATGGATTTCTAACTGAGCCACATGAATCAAAATTAAATATGCCTGACAATTTACGATAAAATCACATAATTTCTGTCAAATCATTAAGTCACTTTAGGAAATGTATGTGGCACACACATTCTCTACATAACATGTCCTCTTTCATAAAGTGCTTATGTAACATGTAAGAGTTCACTGATATTAAGCAAATGAAGCAGGAATATACAATGCAATGTAATAAAAATCTAATATATTTTATTCTGGCAAATTTTGATATTGGCGAACAGTAATGTCTACTGGCGTTCAATGAAATAACATTTCACTGTACATTTAATCTTCAGCTTATGAATGGGTCAAATTCCACAACCCCATTCATAAGTTCAGACATTCTTAAGTGAAAACAATTCCTTCTCAAAAGAAATAATACTTATGCTCTTACTGAGTGCATAACTTACTGTACCCAGTACCCTCAATTATGTTGTCCCCACAACAGTGCTTAGTAAGCCTTCATTTGTTGTTCATATATTCCCACAGTTCCACTATTCTGCCATGAAAATTTTATTTTCTTTCTTATGGGAACAAGTTCTTATGTCATTCATACTATAAGAGGAGGACTTAAAGCCAGAAGAGACCACTGTTGCTAGGCAATGGCTCTGTAAACATGTTTCCATGGCAACCAAATCATGTGATCATGGCAACGGATGGATACACATGCAACAATAGAGGGAATGTTGGAGGTGGTGTTTTTTACATCATCTGCACCAAGGTTATATAAGGAGAAGTATGTGGAGTGAGTCAGTTACCCTGCATTGAGGTGGGTTTGAATACCTCTACCAGGTAGCTGTAGGAGGCCACGAAAATGAAATCCAGTGCCTGGCGTTACAACTGGACCACCCTGTTCCTGGGAGATATAAATATAGGGACCTGGCTCTCCAGGTTGGGGGAGTCTCAAAACACAGACAGTAAAATACAGCCATGTGTCCCATGGGACTCAGACCTGAGAATAACATAACATAACATAACATAAAGCACAATAGACAATTGAACGTCGCAATGCTAGGGCCAGTTTTATGGCTCACACCTCATACTCACATTCATAACATAACACTGCATTGCATTCTATGGATCCAAAGTTAGTCAAAATGACTGTAGGATATGGAATATGTCACATAAATACAAAAAATATGTACAGTCCCAATGGAGTTCTCACGCAAGATAAAGCAAGAATACACAGTGACTACACACAAGGCTATTTAAAGATACATAAGTTATTTTCTAGACAATACGTATTCATCAACAGAGTAGAATGAGTGTGTATTTGAGTATCATTTCAGTGCTATTTTAAATCGTGCCTTTTCATTCATAAGACCTTTAAGATCACACAGCAGGTTATTAAACAATTTTGATCCCAGCATAATATGTGCTTTTCTGAAAGCATGAGAGGTTAGCAATTGGTTTATGAAGACAGTGTTTGTGTCTTGTGTTAACACTGTGTACGTCCACATTCATCTGAAAACATTCTTCGTTATTTGTAATGAAGTTTATTAATGAATATATATATTCACAAGGAAAAGTTAAGATCTGTAGTCTCTTAAATAGATCTCTACAGGAATTACAGGATTTGACACCCATAACGATTCTAACAATTTTCTTTTACAATTTAAATACCTTTTTACTGTCAGATGAATTACCCCAGAAAATTATTCCATACTTCATTAAAGAGTGAAAGTAAGCAAAATAGATTGATTTGAGTGTGTCAATGTTACTACTATGTAACATGAATCTAACCGCAAAACATGCTCTACTTAGCTTTGGAATCAACTGATCAATATGGTTTTTTCTAGTTTATATGATTATCAATTTGTAAGCCAAGGAATTTTGTGTTTACTCCCTCTTCTATACATTTATCATTATATCCTATGTTTAATGGATATTGTGGCGAGTTTTTTGTTATAAATTTTATTACATTTGTTTTTTCTAGGTTCAGGGCAGCTTGTTTGCAGAAAACCATTTATTCATTTGCGAAAGAACCTTGCTTGATAATATGCAGAAATCATCTAAATTTTTACCAAAAATTATAACACTAGTGCCATCTGCAAATATTACAGGTATTGATGAGGTCCTTAGTGTAGGAGGGAGGTCGTTTATATAAATTATGAAAAGCAAAGGCCCCCAAAATTGACCTCTGTGGAACTCCATGTTTTATTATTCCCCAGTTTGAGTAGGTACTTTGGATTGAATTTGATTATTTTATTTCCATCTTTTGTTTTCTATCTGTTAGGCTGCTTTGGCAAGGGCCAACAGCAATTGTACACGAAAGACCCATCCTGTCATCAGAGATGGTACCCCACATAAACAAACCCGCAATCATTTGAAAGTAATAAAAATCTGGTCTTGGGCCCAAGATTGGGGCATGACACCATGACATATCGGCCAACTGACTATTGGTCATAACATAACTTTGACTTTGAGTCAGTTAGATGGGAAGAAGTCACCAGCCATCAAGGACAGAAGCCATTGAAAACAGAAGCTGAAGAACTTACACTGCTGGGAGCCAACATCAGGCAACTACTGAAGAAGAAAGCAGTCTTCTGGGATTTGGCACCGTGTATATGTGGTGTTAACCGACGTTTCGGAGGAACGTATCGCCTCCATCTTCTGGGTAGAAGAAAAAATATAAGAAATCTGCGAAGAGACCGTGAGAACCGGCAAAAGCAGACTGTCTGCTTTTACCGGTTCTCACGGTCTCTTCGCGATATCTTCCTCCGAAACGTCGGTTAACACCACATATACACAGTGCCAAATCCCAGAAGACTGCTTTCTTCATAGTCACCGCCGTGAAAGCCTCAAATCTTACAACTACTGAAGAAGCTGAACTCAGAAGATTTAGTGCATGCAACACTGAATTGTAGAGTGTGTGAATTAGCAACAGTGCTGTAACCAATTACAGTTACAGTTACAGTTTGTAAGAGTACAATAAATCCATTTACCAATCCAAACTCATGTCTAGTCACTAATTACACAACAATATGAACAAACGTTTTTAAGTCAAATGTTCATATGTCAAGGACAAAGTGTACTTGTGCACCTTAAACATATATAGTTACAACTTCAACACTAACCTTAGGATATCTTGTAACAGGTTTGGATGAAGTATCAATATATTAGGAAATTCCCTCACTAGAATTAATTTCTTCATTCCCTCTCTGATTTCCAAAACTGAAATATATCTACCACTGTTCATAAGGAATGCTTCAAACTTGCCTGCCTGAGACTGTGTAGAATTTCTGGAGCCAGCTGGAACACATATGAGTTTATGTCAGGATAAAATTATTTTATAAGCACAACATAGCTAAATGTCAGCTATTATAATATTCTGGGCTCTTACAGCCTGTTCACAAAAGATAAGCCCTAGTTTTCTATCAGTCTGTTCAATCACACACTAATTTTTTTCTTTTCATCTTCCAACACTGCTGTTCTTTATTACCACAGTAAAATCTGACAGAAATAGAGAAAAAGTTTATTTTCTTTCCTTTAAGTTTCCAAAACCATTAACACTTTCATAGTGATGGATTTTAACCAAACATGTGCACATCTTTCTTAACTATTTAACTCCTCCTACTAGCAATTATTACAATTTTTGCCAACAAACTGATGCCTTGATGTTAAATTAGTGCTGAATTTGAAAGTCCAGTCTCTCTCTCTCTCATGTGTATATTAGCATGCACGAAGTGTCAGGGTGTGTCTGTGTGTGTGTGTGTGTGTACGGGCATGTGCATGTGTGTATGCATCTGCACATGTGTATGTGTGTGCGCGCGCGCGTGCACACGTGGCTGTTTTGTCACAACAAAACATTTAAAATGTTAACTGGGATACCCTTATTCCATCCTCACAGTTATACCAGTCTATCAGATTTGGAGATCATGAAGTCAGTCTGGCGACACCATAAGCACACACATGCCACATCTTCAAGTTACGTTCATATTTACATGATGGAACTTATGTCACTTGGGCTAGTACTTCATGGAACCAAGTGACTATTTTGACACCCCCATGTCCAAGATCCTGTGCTTCATCTGAAGCGTAGGGTTGCTGAGGGAATAATTAAAAAAAAAAGGGGGGGGGAAGCACAATAGACCTAAGGTCGCGGTGCAAGGGCCAAGAAGGCCTACCCCTCATATATTCTATTCTACATGATGGAAGGCATATTTGAGTACAATTCACAAAAGTCTGTACATTTATAGTGTTCTGGAGCACCAAACTGTGTGTCAGGTTGAAAAATGCTTCTTATAGAATGAAACATCTCAGACTGAAATGTGGGACCACTATGACTAAAAACTGGGGAAGGGAATAATACAAAAGTACCAATGACAGCAAACAATTTTAATGTATGAAGGAGCATATTACCAAAAATTTTATCAAAAACTAACGATACCATGTATTTCTCTTAACGCACATCCACATTTCTCGTGCTCGTGTGACTCGCTATGCTCGCGAGTAATGTGGACGATATGTTGTTGTTGTTATTGGAGAGGGTGGGTTTCCCCTTGCACTTAGACCAGATATTGGTCCACTGTGCATCCCCCTGTGATATTCTACCAGTCTCTATACCCTACCGGTACTGGTGTGTGCCATCAGTCCCGACTCAGCCAGCGAGTTCGGCCTCTACTGGCTCAGCGGTATCTCGATGCCTCCCCCATCTACCAGCAGTGGTAGAGACTACTGTTGGGCGGGAAATGTCCTGAATTTGGCTCAGAGGTCTCCTTGAGACATGAGGTTCTTTTACGTGCCGTAAAGCTACGACACGGGACCCATGGATTAAAGTTCCTCCCGGAGGACTTGTTCCCTGAATTTTTCCGCCCTTAAAAATTCCACGACCTCCGCCGGGTTTGAACCCGCGTACCTTGAGTCACGAGGTGGGAACGTTACCCCTAGACTACGGAGGCCGCTGGACGATATGACAAGTCACGAGACAAGCAAATTTTAAATTCTTATTTAAAAACTATAGCCAATAAATTAAAATACGACTACAGCCTATACACACTACGAGTAAATATACGGATCCTCACGCGCCGAAGCCTGGCGAGGAACTGAAGTAGTGTGGACGATGATTTACGAGCACAAGTAAAAGCCAGATGAGTCTCCCGATGAGCACAAGCCTGGCGAGCACGAGCACAAGTAATGTGGATGCACCTTTACACCCAAACTTTGCTAGAAGCTTCTGAACAATTATTAAAGCATATAGTGACTCCACATAGAAATGTTGCACACACACACACACACACACACATATATATGTTCAGTACCAACACAATAGTTTTAGTGGACATTAATTCAGTCACATACTTTCTTGTCTTACAAAACAGTGTAATATGTCTGCTGTGTATTCATATGAACAGTGACTAAAATCAAAATAATGCAAACTACTGCAAAGTGCTTCTACATACCCAATTCTGAATTATCTATGTCCACTGATGACTCCCATTCAACTAACTGAATATTTTTCATGGCAGTAAGTACTTCTAAAGCTGTACTCTTGCCTACTCCTGGTGGCCCAGTAATTAGTAGCATGGAAGCCTAATGAAAAACAATTAACTGTCTCAGGCACTGAATATGATACAGTAAAAGTGGTTAAATGTGAACCATCTGGCAAAAAAGAAATATCCGTAAAAACACTACATTATCCTTTATCATCAAGGAATAGGAGATACTAAATTTGTTGGCAGCAAGGGGCCATCAGCCATATTCTAACACTTGGCCAGCTAGACCATGTGCATGTGCTGTAGCAAAAATGCAATGCAGGCCTGTCATGGCTTAAAATAATTATGTCTCTTGTGTGAAGTATCAAACTGACATATAAACCATATTTGAAATTAACAAGTTATAGTATCAGGGCTTCTGAAGACTGCATGCATTATGACGGAATCCTGAAGGCAGATAGTAGCAAAGCATGGGAATGGCAACTGATGCAGCCCACACCTGGTGAGTAGGTGAGAGAAATTACATGTAGTATCTGTCTTCAGCACTCAGTCAGATCCTACTATAAAAGAGCAGGCAATTTTACAGATACTGAACTTATAAAGAGAAGCTGTGAACCCTAATGAAAAGTGAGTCTTGAACTTTCTTCCAGAAATAAAGAATAAATAAATTTTGAAGTTACATTCTGAGAAGTTCTAGGTAGAATTTGATTAACTTGTATATGCTTGTATTAACTTGTATATAGTAAAGCCTAAGTAATGTATCTCAGGGGTTAAACAACCACATATTTTATGACTTAACACTCCCAACTTGGGAACATTTTCATAAATATTCACACAGACTGTGAAAGTACCAAGATAATTACAGCAAAGTATTTTTAACCCTTGTTGTTCAAATCATTCAGGAGTTAACGTAACAATATATTATGTATAATATCATAAAGCGTTAAATGTTCCTTCTTATTCAAAAAAAAAAAAACTTGACATTAATATTCCACACTGCTTTAAAAAGCAGAAGTACAGAACATCATCTTACCTCTCCAACTGTTTTACTTGCTTTCTGCAGCCATGAGTTTAACTGATCCAATTTGGGTTTTGAAACAAGAAGATCAGATGGAGTCTTCGGAGCAAACTCTTTCAACCAATCTTTTGTCATCACTTTTTCTTTTGTAAAACTGCCATTAAATCTTTGAACCCCATCTCTGTGTGGCAGCTTTCGTTGGCTGTCAATGTCACTCATTTTATTTGATTCATTCTTATCAAAGCAGGTTGATATCCAGCTTGACTACAAAGATACAAACAGCTCCATGAGTAAGTAAATCCCTGTAACAGGCCATGAAGGCCCAGAGGGTTGTGAGACGTTGAGGGTCCCATCTAGACAATCGGCTCAAAGATGGCAGTAAGGTTGTCAGACTTACGCGCTGGCCGCACTTTACTCCCCAGGTAAATTATTTAATTAATTCCTGGTACTCATTTCTGTTAGAGGCTGAGTAGACCCCAGGGCCAGAGTGCAGCTGGAAGGATTAGGTCAATTAAAAAATAAACAATGACCTCATCGGGACTTGAACCCACAACCTTCCAGCTTGTAGCATAGTACCTCAACCAACTACCCCACCACATGTCCCCTTATTTACATTTGTACACTGAGATATAATTAACAACCTTCTAAAAAATTATTTATAAACTGTATTTTCCAAAACAGAAAAGTGTGTGATACAATACTGGACAAAGACTAACGATTAAAACAAGTGCACTTATCTGTAAGAATTAAAAGAAAGCCTTATAGGAATTAATTTACCTTACAAGCCATAGTATGCAGTAAATTGAAGTTTCGACAATCTTCGACAGTTCATGCATCAGAAATATGGATGTAATTAAAAATCTGAGCCTCTCATTTTAAGGAAAATCCTTCACCCTGCCAAAATGAAATATTAGTTATAAAGTGTGAAACCTCATTATGCACAATTTCAGTATAATAAAAATTCCACTAGGTGGAGACTTTACTGGATTACAGGGAAATACTATTGGTAGCATATGGTTTACATATCTAAGAGAAGGCTAAGGTGTGGAATGAAAGCTCCAAACATTCGTAACAATGTGTTCTCACTGTGCTAAGGTATTGCACATAATCCCTTTATAAGGATATCTTTCAGACAATAGTGACCTATCACACAACATACACTACACACAGTTTCTACATCTGTCCTCTCTGCTGTTGATACCAATATAACAAGCACTTAACCTGACAAAAAGCATCTTACAGAACTAATATATGACATACTGCCATAAACAAAATAACCTCAAGCCGGTGTTTATTGGCTCCCGTAACTGTGTTCCATTTTGGGTTGCTCAAAAAACAATGAGGAATGATCAGATCAGCTTTATTTGCCTACCATAATATTTCTGTTACTCACTCCTAGAACCTTAATTTGTGGAATGTGACAGAAAAATTGTGTTACAAATGTATGAGGGTGAAATTCAACTAATATTTTTGTTATCACCCTGGCTCCACTATATCTACCATGTATCCTTGGCCACCAGACATTTTATGGGTTAGAGCTTCAAAATTACTTATTACAAAATGGGGATCTGCAATGGGTCACACACGCTGTCAGTGAAAAGCATTTTGTTGCAGCACTCAGAAACTTGAAACCAAGTTTCATGGACTGTAGGTGGTTACTCTGAGGGAGAATACAAATTTAAAAATTAGTAAGCCTCCCAGTTTCTTCTTTGCCTTTGATATTGTGACATGTAGACCCATTTCTAGGAAATGAGTTGACAAACACGTTTCCTAGAATACAAGAATGAAATCTGTAGACCCTTGGAAACCAGCTCATTGCTGTGGAATCAACAGGCATGTCCATGGATATGAAAATGAAAGGTGTAGACTCTTGGAAACCAGCTTGTTGCTGTGAAATCAACAGGTGCGTCCATGGATACAAGAATTCAACAAACATTTTCCTGCGGTATCACTATACTATATGAGCGGCTGTTCAGATAACAATGAAGTCATTTGTAAATCAGAAGGCAGTTGTAAAGTAATTTCGAACCAAGTCAGTCAAGGCAGAAGAAAGACTAGAAAATAAGACAATCATAGTCCAGTCAGGATAGAACGAGCCTTAGGCAGTCATTTACTGTAAGCTGTTGTAATTAACAGTGATTAAAACAGATTGTAAAAGGAGGTGTCAATAAATCCAATCACCCAAACCAAAACCTGTTATTATTAGTCACAGAGTCATAAACACATGACAATATTAATGTTGTATTACATACGTAGCTTACTGTTACTGTTAATCAAAGTGACCAACAACAATATTTAAATAATATGTAGTTAGAAAAAATACATGTTTAATCAGCCCATTCATGTTCCAAAATGTTTTACAAAACATTTTTTATTATTTTTTTATTGCTAGTGGGGTGGGACTAAGTCCCTTGTACTGCAGCCACTTCTGGCCTACTGTACCAGCCCCAGATGATAGGTGAGGGTGATTGTGGAGCAATTGGTGGAATGAACATTGGCAAGGGAAACCGAAGTATTCAGAGAAAACCTGCCCCAGCACCACTTTGTCCACCACAAATCCAACTTGACCAGACCAGGATCGAACCCGGGCTGCCGCAATGGGAAGCCAGTGAATAACTGCTTGAGCTATGGTGTGGCCTAATATTTTACAAAACATACTAGGGACATGTGAATCCATTGCATAGTCACTTCTAAACAGACATCTCCTAAGCAACATAAACAGACATTTCCTGGACAATGGAGATGTCGTTTTCATGACAATGGCTAGGTAAAAGTTTGGTCTCACACAAAGGGGGGGGGGTCGTTTTTGTGACAATGGAGAGATGAACTGTTCGACTCAGTTTCCCCTATTCGGTATGCCAAGCACATATAAAAATCAAAACACCCACTGTAATAGTAGTTTCTAAAAGTATTGATGTTCCCTCTGATGATGGTCTATAGGGACCGAAACATGTTAGGGTGATAAGAAGTGAAGTAGTAAAAGCTTCAACAGTCACAGTGAATGGAATTGTTTCATCGTTTGTAATATTGTTAGTATGACGGACCAGAATGAAACAAAACAAATCAAAGATATAAAACAGAGTACATTCGTGAATAGACACAGAGTTCAAAAGTGAAGTCGGGAGTTCAGAAGTAAAGTCAGAAGTTGAAGCTGGAAGAACTAGAATATTACAGAGCACAAAGAGTCTGTGAACTGTTATAAGTGAGTGTAATTGTGAGTGACATCAAATAAACCTAATCATCAAATCCAGAATCCACAATTATTAGTCACACGTACCCCCTTACACATGACAATACTTAAAAATCATAAAATGTTTTGCAAAAAAAAATGCATAACTCTGGCCATCCATTTTGTCATAAATTAAGGTCAGGGTCAAATGTTAATATGCCATACCATAAATAATCCTCCTAATTATCAGACTTAGCAAAAAACTAAGACTTCTGTCCATATATAGGTATGTCATCAGATGTAGGTGGTCTTTCAGCAAATTACTTGTTGAATCACTGAAGCGAAATAAATTTGACAAGTAATAAAAACTGCAAAAAAAAAAATCACACATACTGTCAGTAAACCAAATTCGTAAATGAATAATATTCATGATACTGTGCATCATTATCAAAGCAGGTTATTGATATAAGCCTTTCTCACAAATTATTCCTGGAAGTTCGGATCATTCAATAGTACTCTTTACATTTGCATGTTATGAGCGTTACGAGTCCCTGACACTTATGAATAGAAATATCGAACGTTCATTTAACTGGCAACACTGCTTTGAAATTCTTACAAGTACGGATTTCTGGCTCCGTAAACAATCCTAGTGCTGCTGAGACATCATCTATTACTTTGTGCAAAGTAGCACATGACGTGGATAGTCTGAAAATATATGGCAAACAGAGGGTTGCTTTTTTAATCTTCATCCACGAAATAACATTTAAACCGTTTAAATTAACTGAAATGATGAAACACTAAAATTGAACGTGCATCTGACTCTTTTAATTATTTTATGCATACAAATGTCACATAACAAATTGATTCGAAAGTATTATTCATAACCTACAGCACAAATCTTCCGTAAAAACGTGTGCTCACCGTCCTAACCTACCGCTCAAGCACATCGAATAAAATACAACTACTTTGTAATGTTTGAAAATGTATCACTATGAAGCACATATCTACAGACGAACGTGTTGAATGGTTATTGTCAATCAATCGATCCAAACAACAGCCCAAAAGCACAACTTGTAAACAGTACTATGTAATTCACATTCTAACGCCACGGTTAAACGCATTCATTTTTTTTCTGGAAATAGTCGCGGGAAATTCAAATAAATGCCACAGACAACTTTCTTATGATTCATTCATCAGTAATCTGTTAGACGACAGCTCCACAGTCTCTTCCAAAACAGTTCCTCCACTAATTCGATCTTCTGTTTTTTGAAAGAGACTATCCAGGAAAAGTGATACGTGGTAGTTTTTCCATTTGCTTTCCAAATCGCAGTACAACAGCCGTTCAAAACCACTCTGGTCACGCCTGTTGCTATACGAACTTGAACCATCTTGTAAGATTTGAGGCTTCTTGAGCATCATTTGTTCTGTGCTTCAAGTTGTTACTGATGACGCTGCTTCCGGCATCAGTTTTTGGTTTTTGGTATCTCTCTTCGTCTGATGCCTACCCTTTGACCTGTCCAGTAAGCAAGGCCCTGCCAGTAGCTGCGCTACCGCTGGTATAGCTCTCAGGGTCCTTGGCATACTCAAACCCCCTCACCACGACAAGGTGGAGACACATGAGGGGGTTCCTTATAATATGCAAGATTAAAGGAATGATACTTACTCAAACCGAAAATTTTAAAATTCGCTTTATAATATTCTAATAAAATTTGGAATTAATAATTTCAAGAGAAATGTTGACAACATAACCAGAACTGTGTACACAGCCAGAAAATAGAATTCAAACCACAGTTTGGCATGTACCCATAGACAAGTCAGTCCTGTTAATTGGGAAGGTATGACATAAATCAAGAGTTCTGTCTCCTAGGAAACAACTCGGTGTGGTCAGTTGGAAGTCAACCGACGTTTTGGAGAAACGTGTCACCTCCCATCATGAATGTTAAAAATAAGCCACACAAAAAAAACTAGCATGAAGCAAGTAGAAAAATGGAGATGGCATGTTCCTCCAAAACATCGGTTGTCTTCCATCATCATCATCATCAGCAGCAGCTGCAACATCATTAATTCACATTCCATAGATCCTCTCTGTTACAAAAACCATGAATATGGAAATCGAAAAAAAAAGTCAAAAAATATTTGAATACATAATATACAAATTCATAAACACATTTATTAAGTATCGTAATCATATGTTAAAATTACAATCAAATTTTATCTCTAAGGAATAAAATGAATTAGAAAGAACAAATCATTTTAGGGCTGGCTTAAGTAATCTCACGTCATTGCTTAGGCTTTTATATATGGTGGAAGATGATTAAAACCTCTTAAATTCCATAATAGTGTGACCCCCTTTGATAAATTCCCAAACTTGATGTATCTAGTATTTATACTGTGACTCTCTTGATTGATCTTTATTTTTCACAAGAAATAATGATAAATAAGATATATACTGTGAATATAGAGGTAAGATTTTTAGGTCTTTAAACAGTTCCCTACAAGAATTACTGATATACAGGGGATTCCAGTTAACTGGGACACATCAGGACTAGGGTACTTTGTTCCAATTAAGTGGCTGCTCAAAATATACAAATTTGCACATAGAGGTTTAAAAAGGTATACAGTAAGCACATAAGACAAAAGTTAAGCTTCCCATTTATTGACTAACAAAAATACTGACTTTACATGAGCTGAAACGATTGGTGAAAATTACAGAAAAATTTTACATTAGAAATAACTTTGATTCATTTATGTATTCAAAATCCATATGCTTCTTAACAGTTAGTGATGCTGGAGGAATTGATGAAGTGCACCCCACTGTGTTCTCTTGATTACTGCAATTAGACAAAATCACCACAGGTTTCTCGTGTAGATATTGTACAGCCTTCATTGCCTTCCTGCATTAAATAAAGTAGCAGTCCAGTAATAAATTTCCCAGGAACCTGGTTAATTACTCATTCACACTCAGTCAAGTCACCCTCATCAGCCATCTTCTGATGACTTCTGGTGTTTCACCACAATTTGTACAATAATTGCTTCAACATAATCTTCATTTTCATTATAACAATGAAAACTACTGTCAATGCATGGAAACCTTTTGTAATTTCCAATGTGCTGTATTTCCAATATGATGTCATTTTCACCATCAACTTTATTTGGTAGCTCCAAGTGTTTGAAATCACAGTGAGCAAAGCAGTTCTGAATGGTCTTGGTACTTACTCCTCACCAACTGGCAATACATTTCGATGCCTGTAAAAGCTCAATCCTTGCACTGATGGCCTGAGCTGTTGAAGATGATGTCAATGGACCTTCTTGAATTGCTTCAAGAATGTAGTTTACCAGCTTTGGGCAAGAGAAGGTCTTAAAATTTTTGAGATTCCCATGTCCATTGGCTGTACTAGAGATTTGGTGTTAGAAGAAGTTGGATACTTTTCAAAGAATCCAAGTGAGGGCATGCTGCACAGTTGTCAAGCACCAGTAAAATTTTCCTGGATTTCCATTGTAATTAAACATCCAGACTCATTAGCCATTGCTTAAAAATTTCAGACATCATCCACGCATTTTTATCAGCAGTACAGAACTGGTAAACTGTCCATTCTAATCCCCTTAAAGCACTGAGGTTTAGCCCTTTTATCAATAACCAGCAGCTTCCATTTATCAGTTCCTGACATGATTGAACAGCACAACACAGTTGCAGAATCCATTGCTTTCTTTGAACCAGATACAATTGTGTGTTAGTAGCTAAGGGAACCATCCAGCATGGCACGATAAAATAAACTGTTTCATTGGCATTGTAGATAACATCTACACAAATTTTCTTAAGCAAATTTGGCAGGTTTGTGGATTTCAATTGTTCAGCATTTACCAATCAGCCCAACCTTTCTCGCCGTGTGCCTTCTTGAATTTCATCCAAAACCTGCATTTCCATCGAGACAACCAACCATCTATTGCTTTGACAACGTTGTGGCCCAGTCTCTTAGCTAACTCCTCTGGCTTGCTTTTCAACATTGGAGCACTTATATGTACACCTCATCCAAGCACAACAGAGTACCACTGATTGAGCGCCTCTTCAACATCTAGGTCCTTACCTTCATGCTTCCATTTTTGGGGAGTTCCCTGTTGTCCATGGAGTAATGTCCATTCATCTTGCAGTTTCTCTTGCTGCTGTATAACATGTGTAATGGTAGATTTCAGCGCTGCAGTTATTTCCACCAGTTAGCGATGACTGGTGGTTGGTTTTTAATTTTTTCAATTAAGTCAATTTTGTCAGTGAGTGTACATTCTCCTAGGCTTTTCTGTTGGGATCAGAATTTTAAACAAAAAAAATCTCTGCACATGTCACAGTAGACTCACAAACACAGTCACTACATGACTGAGTGTGACTGGAGCTATAGTTAGGTATTCATTTATACTGAGTCAGTAATTCATTGGTTATGCAGTAATCACAAGTGCACCTTGTGGCAGCTACTGACCAAATTATTTGGTGTCCCAAATAAGCAAAGTAGATTCTAGTTACATTCTCAATTTCTTTTTGTTCTTCAGGTTTTGCCCCAAATAGCTTATGGCCCTATTAACAGGAATTCACTGTATTAAGTATGTCCCAGGGTGTAAGGAATAAGCAAATCATTCATCATCTGTCTAAACACAACATAATGCAGAAAAGCATTCATATACCTGCTTGCTCTCTAAGAGGACTCAACCCCTCAATTCCAGTGCTTGGCTGGTCCAGGATCTTATCTTGGGCTGCATTACCATTGTGTCTGGAAGACCAATACTGTATAAAATTGAAGAGTTGTGTCTTCTAGGATATAACCCAACATAATATGCTGAAAGTGAATTGACGTTTCAGAAGTGACATTTACTTCCAAAACGTCCATTGGCTTTCAACAGACTACATGGCATTATATCTGAGAAGACAGGACTCTTCATAACCACTACTGTGAGATCCTAATATCCTACATAGTATCTAAAATTGTTAATATAATTTTAAGAAACCATGTTGATAATTTTTAAACAAAGGATATAGATATTACAGACATCATTTAAGAGTGGTCAAAGCCATCATATAATACAATTTTCTACCCTTGTTAATATCTATGACAATGCATCTGGGCAGAAAATGTATCAGTTAGGACTGTATGTGTTAACACATTTCTTTTTATGCCCCATATCTTCAGAAATCTGCAGAGCACACAATTACCAAACAAAAACAAAATTACTGACTTGAATCTAAGCCTCTTATGTTCAAAGATACAAAAATGATATTTGCTGACTCATACATTAATATATTGTGACGTGTTGCGCTATGCAGGACACCCCTCCCCCCATCAGCGGTGATATAACACCATCAGAGCGCTGTCGTTACTAGGGTAGCAGGCTAGTCAACACTCCTTCCCCTACCCCGCCAGCGGTGACGTGCCAAGTGGAGCCGAAGTGAGCCGAGCAGAGCCGAAGCGAGCCGAGTCCCGACACACTGGTCACTATGCAATGCGGGTAAACAGTAGTTGCGAGAGACAACTCCCAACAGCGTTACCAGTAACACTGGTAAATACGGTAGCAATAGTGGCGCCTATTATGTGGCTGTTTTCTGTGTTGTCCGGAACGAGGCTACATAAGGAGCAGCAAAGACTATTCACAGTTAGTTCTGAGTTAGCCAGCAGTTAGTTCTGAGTTCTCAAGTTCTCGAGTTACGAGTTACGAGTCAGCCAAGTGGCCTCCGTAGTCTAGAGGTAACGTTCCCACCTCATGACTCGTGGTACGCGGGTTCAAACCCGGCAGAGGTCATCAAATTTTTAAGGGCAGAAAAATTCAGGGAACAAGTCCTCCAGGAGGGACTTTTAGCCGTGTGTCCCGTGTCGTAGCTTTACGGCACGTA